ACTATGAAACTCGTCACGCGTCACATTATTGGCTGCTCTTTACAAACGTCACATTTTGATTTGCAAGTGCTCTAAAATTTAAAGCCTGAGGATCAAAGCCAGAGTGAACCGGGACATTTTAAAGCCAGTGTCGTGATACTAAGATCAAGCCTGACTGCTTTCACTTGGACTTTGTGAAGGTCATTGTAATACAGGCCAGAGGTTTACTATCCCAGACTATAGACTGCAACCTGTGTGAGTATCAGTCATTATGATCTACATATTTTTACATATACATTGCTGTTTTTTGGACACTTTTTTGTAAAATGTCTGAAACAAATTCTCAGGTAGAATAATTTTTCTGGGGTTTGGGATTTAGGATTAGAGACCAAAATACTTTTACAAAAATACAGAAAGACAAAGGAATTGATTGTAACAATCTATTTACAAAAACATGCACAGCTGGTTTAAATTACTGTAACTAAGATATGTACGTGCTAGTAAAAAAAAATGGTCCTTTTATTTATTTTATTAAGTATGTTCCAAATTAATAAAGCTTCAACTGCTTTATTATTTTTACTTTTTTTTGAGGGTATTGTTTTTGCTTTTGAATTAAACACATGAACATATACATTTCCAAGTAACAGAAAACAAGAACGAAAAATAATAATAATACAGAACAAATTCAGTATTTTCCATTGCTATTCCATACTTGATCTTTTCTTAGTCTTTTATTAAAGGAGTAGTTTACTTTAAAAAAAAAATCTTTTGGTGACAATTTACCCATCCAAGATGTCCATGTCTTTCTTTCTTCAGTCGAAAAGAAATTATTGTTTTTGATGAAAACATTCCAGGATTTTCTCCATATAATGGACTTCAATGGGAACCAAACGGTTCAAGGTCCAAATGAGAGCTTCAGTGCAAACTGTTCAAAGGGCTTTAAACAATTCCAGACGATGAATAAGGGTCTTATCAAGGGCCCTTAGAGTCATGACTCGAAAAAATATTTGTTCATTTTAATAAACGAGTTCGAACAGGAGAGTCACGAACGCTCATCACAGAACAGAGCAAGGCGAGCATTTGAGCTTATAAAACAAACTTTTTCATTTATTTTTTTAAATGAGCGATCGTTTCGCTAGATAAGACCCTTATTCATCGTCTGGAATCGTTTAAAGCCCTTTGAAGCTGCACTGAAACTATCTTTTGGACCTTGAACCGATTGGTTCCCATTGAAGAGGGATGAGGATGTTCTGGAATAAATCTTAAAATTTTGGCAAGATATTTTTCAAGATATTTATTCTGCCAATTAAAGATATGGGTCTTTCTATTGAGCAACTAACATTTTCAAGAACTGGATCAAAATTTACCTGCACAATTTCTTCAAATTTTGCTACAATTTAGCAGCATGAAGGTTGCAGCACACTTACTGTCCATCAGTCTCATTTAGATATAGAATGGAACTTTTTGAATTATTAATTTTGTATCCAGAAATTTTGCCAAATGTATTAATAAGTTCTACTAACGCAGGTAATGATGTATCGAGATGTAACAATAATAGCTAACAGTATTTTATGTTTTATCTGTCTAATACCTATTAATTCCACATCGTTTTACTGTTATATTGCAAAAGGCTTGATGGATATGGCAAAAAGAAGAGGAGAAAGGGGTGAACCTTGTCTGGACCCTCTTGATAAGCTAAATAGTTTTGAAACCATATTATTTGTCAAAACGTCTGCTGTAGGCCTAATTTTGAGTGACTTAACCCACTTGCAAGTGGGTTAACCCACTTAACCCACTCCTCACAAAATCCAAATCTAAACAACAAATCAAACAAATAAGACCATTCAACCCTATCAAATGCCTTTTCGACGTCCAACGATAGGTTCCCCCCTCTGTTCATGAAGAATTTTTAGGACTCTTCGAACATTATGAAATACTTGTCTGCGTTGTATGAAACCATTCTGATCTTCGGCTATTAAATTTCACCTCGGCCTCTTTCACTCGCTCCTTCACTTCTTTGATTGCTGACATAACAACGTCGATTTTACTTGTAACTCGTTTGTCCATTTCTTGAAGGGCTTGCAAAACATCTGCATTGCTGGGATTCAACACTGTTACTTTCGTAGGTTCAGTGTCCTCTTCTATCTCTCTCCGTTCATCCTCGTGATCAGAATCTTGAGACATCTCTTGCGCTTTATTATTTGTTTTTTTGGTCTGTTTTTTTATTCAGTGCCATTTCCATTGGTGGTCTTTTGTGTATTAGTTAACTAAAGATCTGATAAAGTTTTAAGTGAGTTTGAAGGATTGTTTCTCAAACAATATAGAAGGGTCGTTAGCACGCGTCTTGTCAGTATACCACTCCACAACCAGAAGTCTTCAACTGCTTTATTAAGTGAAATGTCAGTAAAGGTGTTTTTATGTGTGTTGTTCAGCAGGTCATGGAGATTCATCAGTCTGCTGTGATTCTGCTGCTGGTCGTGTGTGTGTCGTTCTCCATTCATGCTCAAGGCGATTATCAACATTTCGTCAATCAGCATGTGGGTCCTAATGTGAATGCGCAGAAGTGTACCAATGAGATCAGAGCGAGAGGCATCACTGGACCTGGCGGTGTCTGCAAACGTGTCAACACCTTCATACAAGCAAATGCAGATAATATCATCCCAGTTTGTCGCGCAGGAGGAACTCACCAGCAGCAAAACCTGTTTAGGAGCAACCAGCCTTTTCCTGTGGTCATGTGTACATTAAAACCTGGGTCGACACAGCCAAACTGTATTTATATTGGGCAGTCGTTACCTGCCCGTAATATAGTGTTGGGGTGTGAAGGCGTCCCGGGGCTGCCTGTGCATTATGCAGGGGATGAATAGAGCATCACAGACCTATATACCCCTGTCTGTGAGACTGTGTGATATGAAAAAGAATATTAACTCTCTTATCATATACAGTAAATGAGCATAAAGTAAAAAAAAACTTTATTTCTTTAAATTGATCATTTATTCTTCATGCATGCCTCTGTGTGTAATTGTGTTTTTCATGTGCAGATTCAGCAAGTCTACTGAATTTAATCACTTTTTGAGCATTAAAAAAACCTTTTAATGGGAGTAGTGATTGAGCAAAAACAGGCGAGGGGAGAAAAACACAGATGTTTTTACACCGGTCTGTCTGTAATCCTCAATAAAACTTCTCTACCATTAAACTCGTCTGATGGATTGACTTTCTATTTCTATGTTGATTTTTTTTCTATGTATACTTCATGACATTATTTAACAGATGTTGCTTTACAGATAAATGTATATAGTTAATTGAGGTGAGTAATAACCTGCTCAATGATTATCAGTGCACATGACATGGAAGAGAAGCATGTCTTGCACAAGTTGAACTCATCAAAACTTCCTCTTCTACAACCTCTTTCTCTCAGTATTCCCTTTCTAGCATTGTTGTCGTAGGCGTCACTGCATTACATGTTTGGGTCCATTGTATATTTACACATTTCAGTGCGAGAGCTAAAATACTGTCTTATGTCAAACTCCTTAAGTTGTTTTGCAAAAATATGAAAACAAGTGACAAGGTCATGTGTTCAGCGTTTATTCATCGTCTGGTGTCGTTTAAAGCCCTTTGAACAGTTTGCACTGAAACTGTCTTGACCACGAACCGTTTCCCATTATATGGAGAAAATCCTGGAATGTTTTCATCAAAAACCTTAATTTCTTTTCGACTGAAGAAAGAAAGACATGGACATCTTGGATGACATGGGGGTGAGTAAATTACCAGCAAAAGTTTTTTTTTAAAAGTGAACTACTCCTTTAATGACTCACTCTCATGTCGTCCCAAGCCCGTCAGACCTCCGTTCATCCGTTCATAAATATGGCTGGGTCTTCCAAAAAATGCAAGTATTCTTCTGTGTGGAAATCCTTAGACATGTTTGAAGATTGTTTTGTTTACAGCGTGCGTCTCCCTCAGATTGTGAACCAAGCTCAGCCGCACCAGACACGCGTCAACAACCGGAAGAGAATACAATGTAAGTCGTAGTTTTTGTTGTTTTTGGACCAAAATGTATTTTCGATGCTTCAAAACATTGTAACTAACCCACTGATGTCACATGGACTACTTTGATGAAGTCTTTATTTACTTTTTGGACAAGGACAGTATACCGTACATTTCCATGTAATCATGTACATGATTTGTTCAGCAGAGCTGAAGGATGTCCTGTACATTTATCATTTATTTGATATATTCAGACACTCACGATGTAGCCTAGCAGAGAAGAATAGCCCTCCCCATGATGCTTTCAAATGATCCTGTAAACACCCCTGAGAGCTGCAATGCTGTTTTATAAACACCAGATGGAGCCTTTTATGTAATCAGTATCAAAAAATTGATGAATGAAGTTATAAGTATTGGTCAAAAATATCAGTAAACCCTATACCAGCCTTGTAATGCTGATGATATTGATAGATCAGGTCTGTACTTAGGGTCTAGTATTGTTCTGTTGGTCTAGTTTGATTGATTACTATCACCACAGAACCTACTAGAAAGCATTAGGCTATTAGAAAAAAATAATGCAAATTTGGTCTGGATGCCGGGGTTACACCCCTAGTCTTTCGAGGATTTTTGTGACCACAAAGTGTCAGGACCTCAGTTTAACGTCTCATCCGAAGGACGGTGGTCTTTGACAGTATAGTGTCCTTATTCACTATATAGGGCGTTAGGACCCGCACAGACCACAGGGTGAGCGCCCCCTACTGGCCAGTAAACTACATGCATACATGAACTCAATAATTTTGATCACACATAGTATTCACATTCAACAGTACAACAATATTTTGAGCATTTACCCTGAGACATTTCGAATGATAAATACTAAATATGTATACTTGATGGTAATTATTCAGATTAAACCATGTTTTGGATGAATTTTAGGTGATCTCACAGGGAAAGAGATGTGGATTATTGGTGTACAAGAGTGAGTTAAAATGGTCATTTCTTTGAGTAGCCTTCTCTTCCAGTTCTTCCAGTTTTTCCAGTCTTACAACAGATCTGAGAATGTTATGGTGTTACCAAGGCTCTAGCGCTTCACAAAATCTTCCTCCTAGACTCTGAAGGTAACGATTTAAAAACCAACGTGAGTTCTGTATAAATGTTCTACCTGAAGTATTTTTGTGCTTTGTGTTTAAATGCATTGAGGATCGCAGTGTCCAGTCACCTAATATAAAACTTTTAAAAACATTTAACTTTTCCTGCTTATTCATTTCAGGTTCATCATGGCAACGCTGAGAAGCTGTCTGCTTCTCTTCATTATCTTCTCCATGGGGAATACAGCAGGTAACCAACACATTTATTTAGTAAAAACCCTTGCTATTTAAAAATATTTTTGAAATTTGCAATTTTCCATTGAATAGTATTTGCTTAATTAATAAGGGGTTTACTGTGTTTTCAGCACATAATCACAAAAAAAAAAAAAACATAAAATAAATAAATAAATATTAAAACATTCTTTGCAGTGAATGTTACAAGAAATGCTAATAGACTGGGTGCAGTTGGTTTATCCAGAAGATGCCCCACTACATGGACAAAACTTGGACTCCGATGCTACAAGGTTATTCCTGATCTGACTAACTGGATCACAGCAGAGGTAATGTGTTACACACTTTATATTAGGTGTCTTTAACTACATCTAAAAGACAGATGTAAAGACATGTACGTACACAAAAAGTGCATTGTCAAATGATTCATTTAAACTCTGGTGAAGTAAATGCTACAGAAAAAAAAAAAAAAAAAAAAAAAACGAATGCTTTATTTTTTACAAGAAATAAATATCAAAGATCCAAAATTGTAACACTTTATTTGAAGGGGTGTGCATAAGACTGACATGACACTGTCATAAACATGACATAACACCTGTCATGAACATGAAGGAGTCTATAAATGTTTATGACTGTTGTCAGTAAGTGTCATTCCGTGAATTATGACACTTTTAATGCAAAGTTGTCATTGTTTAAAATGTCTTTGTTGTGACGACATTACATTAACCAAGACAAAAACTGTCTTTGTTGTGACAACTTGACAATTATGTCAGTCTTATCCACACCCCACCTATAAAGGCAAGTATAAACCTACTCAACTTTTATAATACTTGTTCCCATTTTGCACTGGGGCATGACTAATTAATAAGGTTGATTTTTCACTGTTTTCCAGCTTTACACTGTTTTATCATCGTTTTTGTTGTTAGGTTTAGTAACTGGCCATTTTGTGACATCTGTGACACAATCACTCAAAAATGATCCATTGAATGTTAAAGTCATTGTGCGGTATTAATACAGTAATCTATTCAACATATTGTATTATTTATTTCGATGTTTCTAAGTACAGCATGCACTTTAAACGTGCGGATTAATTCAGTGTCATATTGTCTTGGGAAATAAATAATGTTGTTAAAGTTAAGTTAGTTAAGTAGATGTTACTTAATTTTATTTGTGAAATTAAATAAATGAAATATCTTAATTACTTCAATTAAATGTTAAGTGTCAATTAAATGTCAAACTGATTTTAAGTGCATTAGTAAGTAGATTTTACTTGAAAATAACAGGTATGTTGTACAAAGGAGTATCAGTAAAGTTTATTTAAATGTGTCTTTTCTGCAATTAAATAGTAGATAAAACTGGTACTGAGCAAATAATAAATCAGAGCAAACTTTGTTTGCAAATGTCTAAAATGTTGTCACTTTTGATAATGGTAATTTTTTTATTTTATTTTGTATTGACAATAAAAAAAACTCTGTCTCTTTAGAGAAACTGTCAAAGTCTTGGTGCGAATCTCGCATCTGTGCGTAATAAACTGGAAAATAAATTCATGCTGAGTCTGTTGCCTTCTACCACACGTACTTGGATTGGTGGTCATGATGCTGTACAAGTAAGTTCAGTTGTGTGTCCTAAAGAGACCAATTCGTTTGTCTAAACTACAATTGTTGCTATAAACAGTAAAGGCAAATTTTCTAATGAAGACGTTTTGACTTCAAATCTGAACTAAAGCTTCTTCCTGAAGTCTGACAATAGTAATACATTCTTTTATCCCCTCTCTTCTCTCTTCAGGAAGGACACTGGTTGTGGAGTGATGGATCTGTGTTTTCGTACACCAACTGGTGGTCTGGAGAACCCAACAATGCTGGTGTTCCTGAAAATTACCAGGGTGCCGAGGACTGTTTGGAGATCAACTTTTCCTGTAAGAATACAGCCTGATTTTTTTTTATACTTTCAGTTATACCAATTTTACATCATACAGTAAATGAATCATTTGGATTTTCAAAAAGTGCCTTAAGTTGAAAGATCTGTTTTGATTCGAACAACACTATAATGATCAGAATAACTGATTTCATTTTTCCACCTTACAGCTGACCATTGCTGGAATGATTCTCCCTGTTCAAGCTTATTATCCTCTATCTGTGTTAAGGACCTGTGAGAACGTTATCCTGCTCCACGGTTACTTTGATTGCACTATATGTTTATTCTGAAATCAAATCTCTTCTAAACTTTAACCTCTTTTCAATATCTTCTCTGAAACACTCCTCAAATTAATAAAAGCATTGAAAAAGCAAATTGTGCATTGTCAATCAAAATCATTTATGTACAAATATAAGTATATTGTATAGCAAGGCTTTGAGGATAGAATGGCATTAAATGATGTCATCATCATCAGGGTAGGGCTTCAAACTGCACACATGCTTCATCATCATCATCATATATATATATATATATATATATGAAGAGTTCATTATAATAGGTAATCTCAACCCGGTCTCATCCCAAGACGTCATATAACTGACGTCTTGGGACGTCCTTTGACCATACGTCAATATTCGCCTTTTTAGGGCCCCCTTAAACGTCAGTAGATGAGGTTATGGGATCCTACCCCAGACCTAAACCTAACCCTAAACCTAACTGACGTTAAAGGTGAAGCGTCAGTTGAATGACGGCCTGGGATCGTCATCTACCGACGTTTAAGGGGGCCCTAAAAAGGCGGATATTGACGTATGGTCAAAAGACGTCCCAAGACGTCAGTTATATGACTTTTGGGGATGAGACTGTGTTAGTAATCTTCATTGCCATTTAAGTGAAATTACTGAACTTAAATATACAAGCTTGATAAAAATGATCATTTTAGAAGAAAATTTCAAATGGCACTTAGAGGCTTTTGCATCTGAACTCTTCATATATATATAAGCAAATATAGATCTCATCCATGTCCCTTATTTGTTTTCTGAATATCCCAGAGCATATAAAACATCCCAACATTTCGTTGTGAGAAACCTGTGCAAACAACTCAGAGATTGCGGAAACTGTTTGAACGAATCAAACTGAATCAAAAACAATTTCAGACCAATTTCTAAATCTGTTTAAATTAGATCAATAATTCACTATTCTGGCATTGCTAGTTCTGATTCTAAACAGCAGATAGATAACGCAAATGACATGAGCAGAAAAAACACATTCTCATGTCGAAAGTAATTGCAGAAAAGGATTTATAAGCAATATTTTACTGGGGCACAGTGTGAATTTCAAAAATGCTCCAGTGACGCCCTCAGGTCTACAGGTGAAACTCGAAAAATTACAATATCATGCAAAAGTCCATTTATTTCAGTGATTCAATTTAAAATGTGAAACTAATATATTATAGACTCATTACATGCGATGTGAGATATTCCAAGCCTTTACTAGATATAATTTTGATCTCAGAAAATTAGTGTGGTGTTATTAAAAAAGTGACAAGTGACTGTTTAATGTAGGAGACTTTTATTTTGAAGGCGTGGGTTTTATTTTGTAATTTAGACTTCTTGTGGGTGGGATCATTTCCTGTTGTACTGCAGTTGTGGACATGTTTGAAGAAGCACATGTTGTAGTAAAAATGATCTCTATCCATCCATCTTTTGTTCGGTCATGGGGCATCGTCAGTGAGTATTTTAATTTAATAACATAAGACCCAATTTAGGAACAATATATTTTTTGTTTGTGCTGTATTTATTTTTATTGACTTACCTGCATTTGGTTTTGTGTTTGTTATTTCAGTTTTACCTTTTCTTCATTAAAGGTGCCAAATGGGATTTAAAATCAAATCATACAACATGTTCCATACCAGATGGGGGCAGTATACCTCCAGAAATACCTCCACGGCCACGCGCTCTCTCATGTCTTCAAACAATATGGGCGAGAGCTGTGTTGCTCTGTCTCCCTCGTGCATATTAATCAAATCAATTGACGCGATAGTAAAAGGTTGGAAGACCGCAGTTTCACGTGGAGCATTTGGAGATTTTCAGAGATTAGAGACTTAATGAACAACATCTCAATACTAAATTATAAGGGCCGTCTCATAGACAAGTCGGTGCATTTCGACGATATGGGGAAATTAAAGCCCAGGCTATTATTTCTAGTTTTATGATATTCGATTTGTTCATATTACATTTTTATCATTAGTTTGAATTAATTTGACAGACAGCAATTCCCTGATGTGGACCAAGCTAGCGTCTTTCAGAGCTGCCAACTCTCACAACACTTTTCACACACTTTCACGCCACACATCAGTTCTGTCATGCACAGAAAAGGACACGGAGACCGATGTCAGCTCTCAGATTCTGTTCATTTTATTACGCAATTCAAACAATAAATACAGTATTGGCGCTTTACACGAGTCACGACAGATCCCTAGCGCACGTGAACCGATCATCTACTAGCTAATGGTAAAAGAACACGAACACTGTTGAAAGATACAGTATGCTACAACTTACCAAAATGTATTCCTCATGCATAATATCGACCAATAATTTTTTTTTAACTCTTCCCTGAACTGAAATGTAGTAGTGGGCTGTATTTTCCACACGACTGACGTCAGGTTCAAGTACACACAAGCTGGCGCGAGCGCGACTTACTCGTGTACTGCAGTTTGGCTGGTGGTAACGTTGCCCGCCCGCATACCGCCTCCCATGGTCGAAACTGGTATTACGACACCTGCCGGGCCGGGGCTAGTAATTTAGCATGCTAATTCAGGTTAATATCTCGGCAGCACTATTACTTGTCAGTTTTTTAATGACATCATCAACCTTATTTCTTCTCAATCTTTTGATGCGTGTTGCTCATTTTTGGGATATTTTAACCTCAATTTTTACAGATGGCACCTTTAAAACTACCTGCCAAGTACAACAAATTGCCTGTTCATTGGAGGAAAGCCTTTTGAAGAAACGAGTTTAGCTTGCTATTTCATGTCAGATGAGAACAGTATAATTAGAGTATATGAAAAGGTTCAGCATTGTAGGTTTAAAGTGTCACTCTAATCAGCTATTTTATCCAAAACACCTGCAAAGGGTTCCTGAGCCTTTATTTGGTCTCTCAGTCTTGTTCAGTGGAATTCACAATCATGAGGAAGACTGCTGACCTGACAGTTGTGCTGAAAACTATTGGCACAAGGAGGGAAAGCCTCAAAAGGTAATTGCAAAAGAAGTTGGATGTTCTCAAAGTGCTGTATCAAAGCACATTAATAGAAAGTTAAGTGGAAGGGAAAAGTTTGGAAGAAATAGGTGCACAGGCAGCAGGGATGACCGCAGCCTGGAGAGGATTGTCAGGAGAAGGCCAGTGAAATGTGTGGGGAAGTAACTGAGGCTGGAGTTACTGCATCAAGAGCCACCACACACAGACGGGTCCACATGGGTTTCAAATGTTGTACTCCTCTTGTTAAGCCGCTCCTCGGTGTTCCAAAGTCCTCTTTTTTGTTGAGAGCAAAATTTGGATCTCATTTGGAAACCAAGGTCCCAGAGTCTGGAGGAAGAATGGAGAAGCACACAATCCAAGATGCTTGAAGTCCACCAGTGTGAAGTTTCCACAGTCTGTGTTGGTTTGGGGAGCCATGTCATCTGCTGGTCTTGGTCCCGTTTGAATTCCATGGTTTTATGTATCGCGACATAATTAAAAAAAAAAAAATCTTCGAGACAAAATGGAGAAGCCATGTGTGAAAAACTAAGGACACCTTTACTGTTAACATCAGAATGAATATGTTAGTGCTGTTAATCAAATGCCTTTGAATGAATCACCTCTGTAATAGCAGAAGTCCTCTCAGTTTGCTGGTTTGGAGCCTTCAGGTGTGCGTTAACACAATGCAAAGCAGGAAAGACACCAGCAATGATCACACTGCAAACATTAGTGCTCACTTCTGATTTATTACTCAGATTAAAGATGTTTAGATTGTTGTTTTAAATGTGGCCAATATCAGATTCTAGTGTGAACAGATCAGACGTCAAAAAGACGTCACGCAATTAGTGTAATCTGCTGCAGAAGCCAGATAATGTTTGCGCAATCAATATATAAAAAACAAAGAGGAGGATGAGAAAAAAAGAGCAGAGTTTATAAACATTTATGATGTTTTGCTTTATCACTGTAATAGTTCTGACACATCACTGTCCTTCACTGAATACCTATCGAAACTGCCTTGATGACTTCAGGTGTGTAAAATATTTGAAGTGACTCCCATGACCAAATGTGACGACAGGTATGCAAAATATTTGAAGTGACTCTCATGATCACACTCAAAAAAGTGATGTGTTAGCTTTACTCAAATTTTTTATGTAAACAGGTTCCACCGGTTCAACATAGCAGGGCTGGGCGATATATCGCACGATATTGTTATGCACATCTTAATCAGTCAAGCCGGTTCCTTGAAATTTACAGTGAAAGTATAAGTGTCAAGAGCCCAACTAAAGTAAACACTGACCGCTATAACAGTGGCTTACAATTGTAGATTTTCTCCTTCTCCTTCATTCTGTTTGTGATCATCAGGTGTCTTCAATAATGCTCCATAATCACTAAATTAATCACTTAATTATCTCACACTCTTGAGTGTTAATTTAACACTCATATCTGCATCATTTCTTCCATCTGAAAGCAGGTGATCCTGTAAACACCCATGAGAGCTACAATGCTGTTTTATAAACACCAGATGGAGCCTTTTATAAAATCAATATCATAAAATAGATTAAGCAAGTTATATGTATCGGTCAAAAATGTCAGTAAACCCTATACCAGCCTTGTAATGCTGATGATATTGATAGATCAGGTCTGTACTTAGGTTATATTGTTCTGCTGGTCTAGTTTGATTACTATCAGCAGCTCCTCTATGAGAACTGAACATGACAACATGTTATAGCGCACCCTATCGGTGAAAAGAGGCAAGGCAAGTTTATTTATAGCACATTTCATACACAATGGTAATTCAAAGTGTTTTACATAAAGAAATTAAAATAATCAAAACATGTAAGATTAATTAAAAAAGCGCTCTTCTTAGAGAGACTTGTTTGCATTGTTTGTCTGTGTGAAAGGTATGTTTAGGGGTGGAGTTAGAGCAAGGAGGGAGAATATACAGTTTGTACAGTACAAAAAAAAAACATCATATATGAAGAGTCCCCACAAATATAGTAAACCAGACATGTGGACCAATGTTTAATAATTAAAGTTAGATACATTTACATAGTGATAAGAAGACTGAAATATAACCTTTTAGTTGAGTTTCTGGATGATATTCATTATAGAGCAACAACGTTTTAAACAATACAATAACAACATTTGTGCGAAACAAAGACTTCCTGTACAAGAATAAATGTAACTAAAAACAAAAATGTGAGCAATTTCCCCGTATGAGCTCTGGTATTTGATCATCGTTTTTTGGGGACATTTTCATACACAGACTCCGTCTTCGATCTCTGAAAAGAAAGACAAACTCAGTCCGGAAACTGCTGATGCGACTGGAACAAACTTTTGTTTCTCTGTGCAAAGCTTATAGCCTACAAATACTGACGATTTTTTTTTTTTTTTTTGAAAAACTAGATGAGATGCCACAAGAGGAAACGACATAAATCATGACTTTTCAAACCGTTAAATCATCAAACAGTTTCAGTTTTGCAGGTTTGTCTTGACAGTCTGTGCTGAGAATGACTGTCTTTCACACAACAGCAAAGACACTTGTTGCAGAACGTCTACAAAGCAATGTCTGCTAAAGTCGCATCAGATAAACCGCAGAGACGCTGCAGCTCGAGGACACACTTCAGCAGAGGTGAGATGAGTACCATCTCTGTGTCCTACTTTCTCTACAATTCAAATATAATGGTATAAAACCTGCTTTTGTATGGGGTAGGCTATTTTAGAAAATAACACACCACATAGCCTACAACGAGTGATTTTAAAGACTCGTCATGATCCAACTGCATTAAATCAAGAGGAATGATTCAGTCCAACGATCATTAAACTTAAATCACACACTTACTGACTGCAACAACTTCTTACCTGTTGTTGTGTTGTTGGTTTACTCGATGCTGAATCAGTTTTGTCTTTCTCCTGGGTTTGGACTGCATTAATAATAACCACAGATATTAAAACAGTTTCAATATTAGATATTTATACAGAATAATTGCTTGCTCTCCTGACCTGTTTTTCTACATTTCTTGCAGATGCAGAAAATCACAATTATAACAACAATCATCAGAGATCCAGCAGAGATCAACACTATGAACAATAAAGGTAGGCCTTGATCTGTAATAGATAATGAGCCATTAGTGTGAGTGAATCTGTCCGTCTGACCTACAGCTAACACTATGTTAGAAGTTTACAATTTATTTTATTGACCATTTCCTTGAAGAAATCAGGACATAAGTGGTCGAAGGTGGACCAAAGTGACCGAGTAAAACTCCAGGCTTAAACGGGAATGTGTCTTAATAATAGCTTGTGATATTCTGCATTAGCCATGAGCAGAATTAATACATAATGTAGAAGTAGAGTAGTTTGCCATTGCAAGAGGTTAGGGAAATCGGTCTCCAGTCAGATTTTTCATTTGGACTGGCAACTATTTGTCTACACCATGCGATAGTTGTCACGGTACACATCAGAAATAAAAGATGACATCAGTTTATTGTCGAGAATTTCATGTCGCGCTGCATCTACTGTAGACAGCATTACTGATTATAATGGGTTATATTTACTTTTGCCGTGTTGCTCCACTCGCGTCGAGTGTAGACCATATCTGCTTGATGGGAGGTGTTGATCAAATGTGTTTTATGTTATCAGGGCCTCTTGCTTTCTGTGTGGGCTTGTTTTATCTGTCCTATACTTAAATTCATGCACTTTTGTTGATTTGGACAAAGAGCAAATTGCACACATGGATCAAAACATCATCAATAGATCAGCCTAATTAATCAATGTCAATATTACCCCCATCATACCTGCACATGTGTGTCTGCAGAGTGTGTTGATGTCCAGATGTGTGGTCTGGTTGCTGATGGGATTGTTCAGCACACAGCTGTAGGTGTTTTTATCCTGATATTCCACCTCCAGAGGTAGAGAGAGACTGATGCTGAGATTACACACACTGATGCTGGACAATACACTCATTCCTGCGTACCAGGACAGAGTCGCATCACACACACTCAACACTGATGATGAACACACCAATGAACAATTGGATGATGATGATGAGCAATCTCTGGTAATGTTAGGAGTGACAAGAGGAGCTGGAAAACGTGACAGAATTATTAGAAATATGGATAAATCTAAACATCTTGAGTGAAGTGTGTTGATGATCTGAGTGTATATTGCCAAAGGTATTAGGATACCCCTCCAAATCATTGACCTTCCATGGTCAAATCCTATACTCCATCATGTCTACACATGTACGTCAGCCGAGTCTAACACTAGCGCGTCTACAAACAAATAAACCTAACTTGCTGCCCAGCTAACCAACAGACTTCAGACAATGCCTTTGAATATGCTTTAACACAGTCAGAAGATCAAATTTCAGAGAGAATCCCACCAGAAAACACGGATACAACAGTTTTTATAGAATAGGGGTATAGCAACAATGCCATGATGTATTACATCATATCCCTACAATTTGATTGGTTTTTATAGACAAACCCGTCTGTTACAAGGTAGAACCAAACTATGGTTTTGGTTTCAAGTTTAGACATCTGTCTAATTCCATTTCCTAGTATTCAGTTTAAAATTTCCATCACAATTGCAACAAAAATGTATTTTCTATTTACCCCTCAGAAAACCAAAAATCTGTTTAGTGAGTGAATTGTATGAAAGCTTGTTTCCGCCATGGAATACAATTCTGAATACAAGAGATCATTCTGACTTTGCAATTATGAATTTTTGTCCTTTCAATTATGACTTTTCTCCCGCAATTGGAAAAGTCCAATTCTGCAGGGGTAAAAAGGTCGTATCTTGCAATTCTGAGAAAAAAAAAGTCTTAATTGTGAGATAAATAGTCGCAATTACCTTTTTTTTATCTTTTATTAAGTGGTGGAAACAAGCTTCCTTAAAATGTAGCCAATCTGTTAACCTTAAAATACAACTTCTTTGCCAATGACAATACAGCATCAGAAAACCGTAAAATGATTGTAAGTACTTCGGAAGTTTCCTTTATTTGCTCCAAATTATAATCCACCCATTATAAGTGTGTCAGCATAACCTCCAAATGAGGGATGCTTATATAAACAATTTTTTGGTGTTTAACAACACAATGCTAAAATGGGTTGAGCTTAACTTGTGAACTTAATTATGTGACGGACAAAGAGTCAAGACAAAGGATATTTCTACTCACCATAGACAGAAACACTGAATGTTTTTGATGTCAGTTTTGCTCCATTTAACTCTAGTTGATAAACTCCAGTGTGTTCAGTTGTGGTGTGTGTGATGGTCAGAGATCCAGTTTGAGCATCCAGCTTTAGTCTGTCTCTGAATCTCCCATCAAGAACATCATCATATGTGGTGAAGATTCGGTTCCCAATGCTGATTTTAGCTATAAGAGACTTTTTAGGTCCATATTTCCATAGTATGTCGTCGTCTTCATGTATTTTAGTAAGATCAGAGTTTAGAGTGACGGTATCTCCCTCCATCACTGACACTGATTCACTATTCACACCTAATGAACAAACAAGAACAGATTTGTGTTTACAAAGCCTCAAGTCAGCTGTAGTTAATTTATTTTTGACAAATGTTAGACTACGAAAGGGGATTTTTAGAGTTTGCTTAATATGTCCACTGCCTTAAAATCAATTTGAAACCACCAAAAAGTGACACTTTTTGAGCCTGCAATGCGTAGATGTTTCCATTATTTCCTGACTTAATGTTTAAAAACACTTTTAAAGGCCTGCAAATCACGATTTGAATTCAAATCAGATCACACACAATCTCTGTTCTGAAATATTAAGCAATAAAAATGTTTTATAACTTACCGATCAGATGGCACCAGCACAAACAGAACAAAACAAGAACGTGAAACATTTTGTTCAGCAGTTCAGTGTCTGATGTAAAACTATCTGCTGGTGTGAAACCTGCCACAACAAAGTGTAGCCCTCCAAGTTCACACATCTGAACGCCCCTCATGTAGTTGCATTATACTCTTCTGGCTCATAATACTGTAAAATACATATTTTTGTATCATTCATAGTTGTCTAGTGTGTGAATCGTCTTGAATTGTATGGGTAGAAGGAGCTTAATGACCTCAAAATGGTTTTATAATTCAGTTGAATTATGGGGTGATCAATTATATCAATGTACTGTATGTGGAAAAACAACTGAAAAGATTGTCTGCTATTTCACGCTGCGTGAGCTGTGACATTAGCAGCTTAACTTCAGAGTAAAACTGAAACTTGCTGTGGTCAGACTTCAATAGGAACATGATTTTATCTAAAAAAAAGTCTCAAATCTAAAAACAGTCAAAGAGTCGCAGTTCATATGTTTCAGAGGAAACTGATTCTAACCCATCATGCATCATTGATAAACAAGGATTAAATATGTATATATGAGTATATTTAATATACATAAATAAGGATTTTTGCTGCCTGTCAATATCACACGTTAATTTGATTGTACAATTCACTTAAATGTGTAAAATGTTAGGTTAACTTTAATTTAGTTGGGACTACAGTATGATTCATTTTCAATTGCATAACTAACTAGATTAGGGTTAGGGGTCAGGACCTACTTCAGGAATATTACAAGTATTTACACAAGGATCCCTTAATAACTCACAAGTAATCTCTTTCTCATAAGGAAACAGCGTAGCTTGGCAGAAACAGTTGAGCATGTGTTGATTCATTAACAGAGAAATAATAAATGTTTTAAGAATCATCAAGTTACATTGGAATTAATAAGTTATCAGTAATAAGCATATTTCCAGTCAATGGTTTATAGTGGTTTATAGTGTTGTAGCCTGGCTGATGGATTGGAGCTATCTACGGGAAACAGGACGGTTTAACAGAATATAGCCTGGAATAATTTATTTTCTATTTAATTTGTATGATTATTATTATTTATTACTTTATCTGTCAATGGTTCACACTCCTCTCCAGTTGGTGTCGGTAAATGCAGTGTAATAGCGAAAGCCGCACAGAATCAAAGTTTTTTTCTCTTCCGCAAGCAAGTTAGTTAGTTGAAAGTGACTCAAAGCTTGAAAGCAGAGAAAGTTTGCATTTCTTTCTTAGACGAAGAGGAAAATGATAATGAAACCTTTCTTTCTTTTGCTTTGCATTTGTTTCAACCATGGTAAGATACGCCTAAGTTTCTTCCGGTGTTTAATGCTAGCAGCTATTTGCAGCATGCTATAGTGTCCGCATAAAACAGTTATGTTTGCCGTTGTAAAAGTTATGTTTTTAGTCAGAACAGTCCCAGAAATGGGTGGCATGCTTCATGTGATACGACCTGTCAGAGACATTAGTAAGCGTGAAATGTGTTTTGACTGTGGCGAATATTTGTTGTTACAGCTATTACGTGTGTTGTGATAAGGCTTGAGGCTTTACTGAGCTTTGAACAAACACCGAAGTCTATCATACGAAACCATGCAAATATAGGCTATAAGTCAGAACACCGGACAGTAGTGTACGTGACGCAGTTCATTATCAACGCTTTATATACAGCTTACTTCATATTTCATATATTATCATTTATATTTCTGTTTTTTTTTTTTTTGGTCGACCATTAAAAAAGTATATGAAATCTCGCTGTCAAGGCCAATGAAGCTATAACGTTGATCAATATTGTATGAGTATTGTTCAAATAAGTCCATGTAAATGCTCAGTTTGGTAGCCAATCTATAAATATGGCATTAGTGTGTACAAATGATCCATAAACTGAACGATTGTTAATGTTGAATGTAATTAAAGGCCAAGTACCGAAGGTGTGGAGGCAGCTATTGTATCTGTTGGCCTCGTTAGATTCAGAGCGTCATGCCGAGTCGACTGTTATCCAATTTTCCCAGATCGGCCATTTTGAATTATGTGCTAAAATGCTGTATTTTTTTAACGTATGAACGAATTGTTACGAAACTTGGTATGGGTCATCATTACGATGCCTTGAAGGCAAAATGTAATTTTTAAATGCTTATAACTCTGGCTGTGGTTAACTTATTTTTACGAGAGTCATCTCATTGGGTTCCTGAATCCTTGCTGAGTTCACAGATACCAAACATGTTAGGATTCGGCTCATGGTTTGTGTAACGTTTTGATTTAGCGCTAAAAAACATTTGCCGATATCTTCGAAACCGTTAGTCCGATCGAGACAAAACCACCGTCAGAGGTTTGGAAACATAGCTTGTTAGCTAAATGCCAATGTCCAAATGCCAAAATATTGATAGTAAGGGGTAGTAAAATCCAATCAAAGTCACGTGTCAGTCATTTTTGATGCTTTTTTTTCCTTTCACATAAATGTCTATAACTCTGAAGCGAATTGAGATATTTTCACCAAATTTGGCACATGCATGTATGGGCTCATTTTGAGGATGCATGAAAAAAATTGTGGGATTTTGCCTCTTGATGGCGCTATAATAGAAAAAAAAAACATGAAATTCCCATTGACTTCAAAACAGCTTTGTGATGTATAATAATACTTAACAAATGCATTTCTGTAACATTATGAAACTCAGAATTTGCCACCAGCACCATCCCCTGAAGGTACTCAAAAGTGACACCTGTTGATCAAAAGTTAAAATTAAATTTCCAAAAATGCTAATAACTTTTGAAAAAAACTGCTTATTGTAATGACACTGGTCATAATAGATTTCTTGGGTCATGCCGAGAACATAGATACCAAGTTTGACGTATTTGGACGAACTTCATGTCCGCCATCTTTATTTACTTTCAAAACCTTCTTTTTTGAACTTCTCCTAGACCATTCGTCCGATTTTCACCAAAATCAAATCATATCATCTACAGACCATGCCAACTAAAAGTTATGGATTTTGTGACGATAGATGAAACCGTTTTCGTATACTGCAGCAGCAAATTTGAGGCATGTTGCCAAAATGACTATTTAGGCTTTATCTCTGCAATGCCTTCACATTTTATTCTGCTCTTGCTTTGATGGGTTAGCATAGCAGATAGCTAACATAAGACCCATTAAATAAAGACCCAGGAAACCGGAGTAGAGAGAGGCCTTTAGTAAGGTTCTTTCCAATTTTGTAAAACTGTGAAAACATAATAACATGGCATTACAAACTGCCCATATATACATATACGTGAATATGCAACTCACGTCTAACATATATAGCTATCCCATAAGAAAAATTAGTCATTTTAAAGAGACTTGTAGGACTAGTTAGCATTTAAGCTAACATTAACATGGATGTCTATGGAGAAATGCTAATCGCGATTAGCATCTATTAATACAACATACATATTATGCTAAAACGGACAATACACAAAGAATACAGCAAAGTAGATATACTTTTTACAGAAATACTTACAGACTTAGACCTTCAAAAACTACCAAGGCAAAGAGAAAAGAGTAACTGCTGCGTGACCTCTCAGTAGATCAGAGTGAGTCAGAAGCACTTAGCACACGGGCAAAAACAACGGCAAGAGAGGAGGGACTAAATATGAGAACTCAAATGCAATATAAATTTACACCACTAGATGTCTCTAATGCAACACAAAGAGGGGCAGAACACATTTTGACACCAAACTTTGTGTCATTGCCACCTATTTGTCGAAATTGATAAACCATTAAATCATCTTAAAAGTTACTGTATGATTTTTCAGCCATTTTACCAAAGTTCTCTTAAAATGCCTTTAATTGCTCCTTGCTGCAGTCGGTCTGCCACTCCTAGCCATTTTGGCATATGTTGCCGCTTCTTGCGCTTGGCCCCGGTAATGGCTGCTTGCAGCTATATTTCGAGTTGCTTTTGGATAAAAAGGTTTTCCACAAGATTAGATAAAAACATGTTACAGTATGTGCCAGACTAAAGTATTAAGTAAAAAATGGTTGGTTTTGTGAATGCAAAGCTTAAATACACAAGCTCATATTTTACATAGGCCTTTGCGGATTATGCAAAATATAAATAATCTTAACAAAATAAGAGGAATGATAATGTCACTATGATTTTGAGATCCTTTTTTTATCATATCCTTCAGAAGCTACTTAATAGATTTAACAAAAAAAAAAAACACAAAATATGGACAATTTACCCCAATTACCACATTTAAAAAAGCAAAAAAATAAACAATTCACTGCAGTTTCCAATTTGTTTTATTTGGCTCATAATTATCTGTTAATTTCTTCTCCAGGTGTGTCTGGTGTTGATACAGATGAAGTGTCAGTGCCAGTGATGGAGGGAGATTCAGTCACTCTACACACTGGTGTTCAAACAAACCAACAAGAAAAGATTAGATGGTATTATAATGACATTCGCATCGCTCAAATCAATGGAGACCAGAGTAAGATCTGTACAGATGTTCAGTGTAATGAAGATACTGAGAGATTCAGAGACAGACTGAAGCTGGATCATCAGACTGGATCTCTGACCATCATGAACATCACAAACACAGATGCTGGAGTTTATAAACTAAAGATTATCAGCAGCAACAGCGACAGAGAGAAGATCTTCAACGTTTCTGTTCATGGTGAGTCATTATGTTTAAAATAAAGACTTGTCCATTTAAATCACATCATTATTATGTTCAGTGATTTTTTTTTTCTTTGACATTCTTAGTTTATAGTATGTACTGTATTTTACATGCCGTGGATAGATTTCTGTACAACCAAGCATTTATTTTACTATAAAATGGATTATTCCGGTCCAAAAATTATTACCCCCCAAAAAGATCCTCTAATCATCTGTTGGTTTGTGTTTCAGGTGTTTCTGCTGCTGAACAAGAATATGAAATTAAAAGAAAGACTGTGAAGGAAAGCGAATCTGTCACTTTATACACTGGTGTAAAAAGAAATCTGAATGATTCAGTAATGTGGTATTTTAATGAGATTCTCATCGCTGAAATCACTGGAGATCAGAGTCAGATCTGTGCAGATGATCAGTGTAAAGAGAGATTCAGAGACAGACTGAAGCTGGATCATCAGACTGGATCTCTGAACATCACACACACCACAAACACACACTCTGGAGAATATAAACTACAGATCAACAACAGCAGATTCAGCATCACTAAGATCTTCAGTGTTTCTGTCACTGGTCAGTCTCATCTAATTGTTAAATTCATTTAACCTTGAGCAATTTCAAAATACAGTTTTCTATATTTAAATTGAAACCATAAATGTTTTCACTGTGGCCTGTATATTATGTATTATATATATAATTCACTACTCTACTAGCATTACTTGATTCATGAAGATAAATAGAGGATCAGATAGATTCCGTAACATTGCCAGGCAGACAACAAATTTGAAAAAATAGAGATAGTGTGCAAACAATATATTTTAATATATTTAACTTACTAGTCCAAAGGACCGCCAGGTCAGATTCTGTCTACTCCTCCTTTAGCTCACGCCAGCGAGCGAACGCTGGACCAATGTTGATCCTCGTCCTGGCTTTTAAATATCACTCTCCCTTTTTCTTTTTTTGTGTCCTCTGACAAAACCTTTGGCTTCTTCCTCATTGGTTCGGACGTAAACATACAGACAGCAATCGAACACTAGTTGAGCTCTCATGTCAGAATCCAAGGAAGCTGGGAGTGGTGGCGTATGCCGTAAAGCGGTCGAATTTTGTAGTTCTTTTTGTATTTGGGTTCCTACCCGAAACCTGAAGTTACAGAGTGCCAGTAAAAGCGATACTGACACTGTCAGGCTACGGCAGATGTGTCATTCAACCTATTGTAAGTGGATGTACCATCTCAAAGGTTTTGGTAATATATCATAAAGTTGAAAAAAAAAAAACCTAGTGTGCCTTTAAATAGAAACACGCTGGTTTGTAGCGCAAACAGTTTTACAGTTTACTGCACTTTGATATTCTTCTTGTTGATTCCCTATAGCGGGTAATAAATCAGAAGTCTCTCACAATCACAGAAAACACAATATTTCTGCTTTGAAAAATAAGGTTGAGTTGATTATCAGTTGATCTCCAGTAATAATGATATAATGTGTGTCTTCAGCTGTTCCAGATTCAGGATCTTCTTCATCTGCTGTAGGAGGAATATGTGCTGCTGGTGTTGGTGTTGTTCTGCTTGTGGCTATGGCTGCTGTGATTTACTGTTACCGCAAATCAAAAACAAGCAAGTATTACAAAGCTGATCTTTCATAATGTAATTGAGATGTATTTTACAAAAAGACTATTTAAAAATATTAAAGTGTGTATAGACCTATTACAAGATGTAAACAACACTGGTCCAGAAGCACTTCCTGTTTCAGTTTGTAACTGTTTTCTTTATTTCACATGTAAAGAAAACATCTTAAAGATGTTTGTTTAACTTTTTGATTCAGTTTTAAATGTTCTGTTGGTTGTATTTTATCCCAGCTTTTATGTAGTGTTAAAAAACTGAAACAGGAAGTGCTTCTGGACCAGTGTTGTTTACATCTTGTGAAATGGTCTATACTGACCGATTTAAGGCCTTGTCCACACGGACACAGGCATTTTTCTAAATGTGACTTTTTTACACGGTTCGTCCGTTCGTCCACATGGAAACACAGTATAAGGTCACTAAAACCGAAAATTTCAGGGTGAGGATTTTCAGAAACGCCGGTTACAGTGTTGCCATGTAGATAGTAAATTTTTTTTTTTTTTTTTTTTTTTTTTTGTGCCGTTATCCGCCTACCAGAACCGGTAATCATTTTTGTTAGGCTTCTGATGGGCCGACGTTGCTTTACGGTTAGGGCTATATCGCCGCCTGCTGGTGTGGAAGGCTCTTGACAGCGCTTGATATCGCGTTTTCATGTTGACAGATTTTTTTTTTAATCGAGCATTTGTGGACGGGAAAACTCTGGTTATAAAAATACCCGTGTCCGTGTGGACAAGGCCTGAGAGTATGTTGTTGTTGTTTAAACAGGAACCTGGACACTGCAAGTTGATGATCATCAGGTGAGATACTGTCAGCTCTGAATCTCTGTCTGCAAAACACTGACTTTACTACAGATAGAGATCTGTAAGTGGTGTTTTATCTGTTTGAAGCTTTCTGTCTGAAACCACGTGTGGTCTCATTCAGAAATCCACACAGAGAAAAAACTCTAATTATTGAGTTATTTAAAGGGGTAATTCACCGCTGGTAAAATAGGCTTTCAATAAAACCTTTGAAATTAATTTTTGACATGTTTTATCAACAATACGTAAAGCGGTCAAATTTGATCAACAATACAATACAAAGCAGGTTAAAAATCAACAAATTGACATTTTAAGAGAGCACTGATTTTGTGGTGTTTGACTTCAGAATGAAGAACACTCAGCAAACGTCAGAGATAAAAACACTGTTTGGTGTTTGTGAAACTGAATCATCAATCCTGATCATCTGCTTTACCTTCTGTGAATCTGTTTCTATCTTTCAGGAGGATAATGACAGTGTGCCCGTTCAACTGATTGGTTATACACAGGCAGGTGCTGCTATGGGGACGTCCACTGGTCAGACTGGGAGCTGATGAGGAGATTCAACAGTAACATTATTATTTTAAAACTGTCTGTGTAAAGCAACATTAAGAGAGTTGAGAAAGTTCAGAAAAAGCAAATGGAAGTTTATCTGACTTTCAGCTAAATCAAGTCATACCTTATTAGTTTACTCTTTTAGAAAGTCATCAAAACGTTATCGTAGAAAACAATGGAAATGGGAAAAGGGTCCATTAATTTTGATCAGAACAAAACTTCTGCACATGTGCATTCAAAAGGAGAAAGTGGCCATGATAGTCGCCGAAACCTCAAGTATAACTGCCATGTTTGCCTTGATAACAAACTCTACAAAAAGAAGGCTGACAGACAGCTTAAGAAGAGCATGGCTTTACTAAATATTCATTCTCACCCATCACCAGTTCATGAGATGCAAGACATTTGTCATTTGATATTAATAGTTTTTTTTTTTTATTGTTTTCTTATTGATACAAGCGTTTCAGATCTACACTACCCTTTTCAGTCTGATGAAAACAGGATTGATTGGGGTGTTTACATGAAGGCTTGTCAATCCATCTGAGCCATCATTATGCATCATTATGCACCTGATTATGTTACAATTTGTACAATTTTAGCAATGTCATCTAGGCTACACTATCAGCTGATGTTCTTGAAAGGTTCTCTCAGGGTTATTCCAGTAATGAAAACAGAATGATTGTTCTTCAAATGCTCAAAAACATCTGGAACAGCTCATTTAACCACATCTCTTATTCAACCAGCTTTGTTAACTCTAAACTAAGTTTTTTTTACCAGGAATACTTGATAAAATCTACAGTATATTTCACACTCCACCCTGATGCTTGAATGTCTGGTTAAGGTTTTGTGGTTAAAAAAGGCAGTTTACAGAGTTGATTCGTGAAATATTAGCATTGTGTCCTTGATCAAACTCTGAATCTCAGGAACTGAACCTGTAAAAACTGCACTGATAGACTTGAAATGTGTGTTGTAGCAGCTACAAAAATGGCAAATATGTGTTTATGTATTGTCTATCGGATTGTTATACTCCATAAATGTCACTGGTTGCTGCGCAAGCATTTGGTGTTGAGCATCTGAATGATGTTCTTGGTAAAATAATATTGTTATTATAGATTTCTTATATTTATACATGTTTAAATGTGTAAAAGTGAATTTTTTTCATTGTTACAAAAACTGTAAAGCGTATCATTCTACCTTTTGTAAGCATTGCTGAATAGTTTTTTACAGTGAAATTCTTGTATCTGATGTGAGGAAGACCGAGACGTGTGGGGCGTTCAAGGTAAAGACTATACTGTGACATTATCCCTTTATTTACCTCCATTTTGTTTCAATTCTAAACTGTTTTTCAGTTTGATTTGATCATGTAATTTTGTTTCCTTGATGTGTTTGTATTTTAGAAAATATCACTGTGTGATGGAAATGATCATCTGCACTTGACTGGTCAGTTCAGTCTCTATCGCCACATTTCCTGAAGAGCTAAAGAGAGAAGGTACAGGTAAAGTATGTTTGACTTGCTTTAACATAATCTGTTTGTCTGAACTATGGAAAATTGTTCTAATTGTGCAAATTTCTCTCTTTCACAGGTTTATATATATATATATATATATATATATATATATATATATATATATATATATATATATATATATATATATATATATTCTTTATTTAAACATTGTACTGGCCAAGTAAAAGGTCCCTTAAACTTGAGTATGTAAACACATTTTCTAAAATTGGAAATAAACTTGAAATATCTGTTGATGACGTGATAGATGTGATGGATTTTTAACAGAATCCAGTGTGTGTGTGTGTACTACTTACTGCTGTGTGAGTGCACTTGGATTGGTGAAATCAAATCAGCACAAATTCCCATTCTTGGCTACGGGTTACTTTCAGTTTCACTTTCATACGCTGATCAGCGCCCCCTGCTGGCCTCACTGACACCTCTCCATCAACCTGGTTTTCCCATGAGGTTTTAACCAGGCTCAACGCCGCTTAGATTCAAGTGGGTGTGCAGGCGAAAGCTTCTGTCGTCCCATATACAACTGGACCAGAACTTTACAGACATAGATCAGACTGTCTTTTTTATGTTGTTCATTGCCATTTAGTTGCTAATCTCCAAACTATGTAGTGAAAAATAAGGAGTTACTGGCGACGGGCCATAGAATTGTGAGAAAAAATAATGCAAAGTTTTGCACACGTGATGTGAATGTATGGCCAGTTTCTTTCTGTTAACAGTAAGCCCCGCCTCCTTCAAAATGATTGGCTAAATTTTTGACGAGCATTGACGATTAAACATTGACGAGCGCTGTTAGACCGCTGTGTCTGTCTTCAGGTTCTATAGCAGGAATGTTGTTGTTCTGCTGGTCTGATAATAACCGGGTAAACTACACAAGCAGGACAAAGCATTAGCTATAAGTATTGACGACGGGCTGTTAATGCATGCCGTAAAATAATTGCACCAACCAATCAAAATCAAGCCCTGTAGTATAGAACTGATACAATATATTCTTCAAAACATACAATAGGAGGAAGTGCAATGATCGGGTAGCTTATTAGTCCTTCAGCAGGTCCTTTATGAGAACTGAACAGTATGACAATGTTATAGCGCACCCTATCGGTGAAAAAGAGCGCTGTTCTTAGAAAGACTAATTCAGATGATGTGTGCTTGTGCCTACATTTGCCAGCATTGTTTGAGTGTAAAAAATGTTAGGGGATAGAATATACAGTGTGTAGTATAAAACTATTATGAAGAACCCCCACAAATACAGTAAACCAGACATGGCCCAATGTTTAATAATTATAGTTGAAGAGTTCAGATGCAAAAACCTCTAAATGCCATTTGAAATTTTCTTCTAGAATGATCATTTTTATCAAGCTTGTATATTTAAGTTCAGTAATTTCACTTTAATGGCAATGGAGATTACCTATTAATTGTCATTTAAGTTAAATTACTGAACTTAAATATACACGCTTGATAAAAATGGTCATTTTAGAAGAAAATTTCAAATGGCATTTAGAGGCTTTTGCATCTGAACTCTTCAGTTGGAAAAAATGTCCATATGATCAGATGAAATAGAACATTTTAGTTGAGTTTCTGTATGCTACTCAACTAATACAGGGCAACAACTTTTTAATTTAAACAATACAATAGTAACATGTGCAACAATAAATGTAAATAAAACCAAAAATGTGAGCTAAATAGCATTGTCACAGTGGGTTGCAGGCAGATCGAAGGAGGTGATCATTTCAAACAAAGTTTTAGTTACAATCTAGAAGACAGGCAATCAGGTTGAGCAACACACACTTACACATAACGGTGACCGGACAATTGAGTGAGAGCAAAGGGACAACTTAAGAAGCAAACACAACGGTAATCGACTAAACTAGCTAACTAGCCTATCGTAACCATGGGAACCGATGAGCGGCGGCTAACGGCTACATGCATGTGAGACTGATAAAAAAACAAAAAGTCCACGAACTAAACAGATCACAATGACACCCAATTGGGCTCTAACAAAAGTTCAAGTAGATATGGTGTTTGATCATCGTTTTTTGGGGACATTTTCATACACAGACTCCATCTTCGATTTCTGAAAGGAAACACAAAGTCAGTCAGGAACCTGATGTGATCACAAACTGGAAAAACTACTACAGATGCTAACATGAAGCAGCAAGAGGAAATTACATCAATCTTGACTTTTTAAACAGTTAAATCATCAAACAGTTTCACTTCTGAAGGTTTTAATGCAGCTTCTGCTCCGAGAATGAATGTCTTTCGCACAAAAGCAACAGCAGAGACGCCGCACGTCAGGCAATCTGCTAAAGCTTCAGCTCAGCTCATAAACCGCAGAGACGCTGCAGCTCGAGGACACACATCAGCACAGGTGACATGAGTATCTCTGTGTCCTACTTTATCTACAATTATAATGTTTAAAAGCTGATTTTGTATGGGTTAGGCAATTTAACTATGGCCAACAACACCGTAGAAAGATTTGTGGATGCTATGAAGTGGTGATATGATGTTATGAAATGAAGGCCGCAAAGCAAACAAGCATGTTGATCATTATTTGACGACAAAGCAAGAGGAGAAAGGATCAGGCCTGGACTTTATATGTTGAGTTTTTGTTTAAGTTAAAGCAGAGCTTCTCTGTGGGACTCACACCAAGGCCTAATTGGCCCCACTTTTTTTTTTTTAATTTGCAAAATGGAAAATCTTACACAGAGGTGCAAATAGTGGCCTTCATAGGCTTTGTGTAAATACCATAAAAAACTCTCCTTTTGATCTGCTCTCTGCTAAAGGTAATAATGACAGTTGAGTCTAAAAACCACAAACGTCTGTTCACTGACCGTCTGCAAACTTCAATCACACTAACTGACTGTGACAACTTCTTACCTTTTGTCGTTTTGTTGGTTTACACAATGCTGAATCAGTCCTGTCTTCCTCCTCACTCTCGACTGCATTTACAATAATCACAGATATGTTAAAACGACAGATTCACAATTATATTGATATTTAAACTGAATAATTGCTTACCCTTCTGACCTGTTTTTCTACATTTCTTGCAGATGCAGAAGATCACGACTACAGCAACAATCATTAGAGATCCAGCAGAAGCAGAGATCAACACTATGTACAATAAAGGTAGGCCTTGACCTGTAATATACAGAATGAGCTATTAGTGTGAGTGAATCTGTCCGTCTGATCTACAGCAAACACTATGTTAGAAGTTTAGGACATGAACATAAACCGAAATATGCAAATACTAAAAGAAGTATAAAATTATAGAAGCATCTAATACCAGTATGGTAGAACTAGCATTAGTGTCGTTAGCATTACGTGTTGTCCTTGTTGTGATTCTTTAGGCCCTGTTTAAACCTGGTTTTAATGTGTTTTGCTTGTTTGAATCACAAGTAGTCGGCGATAAATACAGGTGTAAACTGGGAATAGAACTTTTTAACCACTTCCTGAGATAGTTGAAAATGATCAGATTGCTTTCATGAAGTGTTTCTCAAAACCAAGAATGCAAAGAACGGACTTGTGTTTTTGGGGAGAAATATAACGAGAATTATTGAAGATAACAGCCAGGCTGCAATGAGGGAAAAAATAGTCTTTTTGGCCGGTTGGCTCGCTAGCTAACACACCCGCAGGCACATATGGAGATTCACACTCCCGAAAACGTTTGAGCACATTTTTGATTCGCCATAAATTTTCGTCAAAATGCCTATATTTCAAATCTACACCGTTGATTTCTCGCATCAAATGTTCTCATTTAGTGATGAAATTGCGTACGTAATTGTCTCGAATGCCGAATTGAATGCTGGGAAATTTTTTTGCCGTCAAGTTATCACAAGTTACCAACCGATGCATCCTCTAGTCTGTAAAATAGGCGTGTCAAGAACACATCCGGGATTTTTAACCATTCCTGCCAAAATGCAAACTTGTGTATTGGGATAGTACTTGGGCCACAAAAGATGACGTTTCTCAAGATCACAAGGACAGACAAGTACACAGATTGACAAAGACCCATAGTGTAAATGCTCATGTGATCGAATGCGTTCGAACAGCCTTTAAACACCACCTTGTCCATTAACTGAAAGATCTGAAAAGCACATACATTTACCCGCTCATAGAAATAGAAACAAATCTGGAGAGAAGTGGTTGAAAGTAGACAAAAGAGACGGATTAAAACACTAGGTCTTAACGGGAATGTCTTTCTCATCTAGTGTACTTGTGATCCGATCGACCAAAACGTGTTTTAATACCAGGTGGAACCCAATGAGTTTTTGCAGCCTAGTTGGTGGAAAAGATTGTGAAAGTAATGAACTTTCTGAGACGTTCATATATTAATTTGATGGCGGTTAGCTCTCTCCGAGCTTCCAGATCATCGATGATTTATTAGTTCATCCGCTAATCCGTTGTGCTCTTTTCTGTATCTTTTACAATTGAGCCGCTTGCTTTTCTGTGCAAATATCCTAATTTAAATAAAATGCAAAACAACTTTTACAGAAATTTCATTAAACTTTAGTTTCTACAGACAAACACAGCTGCTGTATGCAAATAGTTGACCATGCAAATAGTAAATAATTGACCATGCAAATAGTTTTTACAACATAGGAATTTGATCTTAATAATTCAGACCTGTAAAATAAGTGTTTTTTAAGTTTATATAAATTAGGATGGTTTACTTAAATTTTACCGGTTTTGGGGGGCTGGGAGTTATTTTACCGTTTTATCATTTAATCAAAAAATAAGTTACTGTTTAATTACAGATCATTTTTGTAATGTTAACATTTGTATGTAATATACATTTTACATTTAACAAAAAAACTGTCATTTTTGTGTATAAAAAATGCGATTTACTGTAATTTGTCATTAATGTCATATTAGTTAAAATAACAGCTGAGTTAATTTACAGTTTGTAATTTTACAGAGTTTTAAGTAAAATTTAAAATAAAATAATCTTAGCGGGGGAACAATCAATTGTTTTCTGTAAAAAAACTATCTATGATTTATATATATATAGTGTTTGATAATTTCCATTCAGTTGTCTGACTAAGTGAAATTCTAGGTATATTGACCGTAATACCACATACCTCCCAATATGCGTGGTGCTGGTTGTGTTGGAAATTTTACAAAGCATATCATCATTTCTACAGAATTTGTTTCTAAAGACAAAGCATGTGCCTCCATTTCCATTTTATTCTGTCTCTTTCTATGTCTTTTAACTTAATAGCACGCGCTATTCTGCATAGGTCTAGTGCATTACTAATAATTACTTCACGGGTGGACATATGGAGTCTTTTAGCAATGCAAGAAGTTAAGAATAATGGTCTCTAGTCAGATTTTCGTCGCCTCTTAACGGTCTCTATTCGGATGGGCAACCTTTGCAAGTAGGCATACAGTGTTCGCCAGTGCAAGTAAGCAACAATTATCGCGCCGTTCTGCGTGTCTTTAGAAGGGCTTGTTTTATCTGTCCTATACTACAAAGTCCATGCATTTTGGTTGGTTTTGGCCAAATAACAAATTGCACACATGCATCAAATCATCAGCTCTGTAACTTGATAGATCAGCTTATGTTAACATTTACACCAACTGACCTTCACGTGTGTGGCAGTGTGTGTTGATGTCCAGATGTGTGGTCTGGTTGCTGATGGGATTGTTCAGCACACAGCTGTAGGTGTTTTTATCCTGATATTCCACCTCCAGAGGTAGAGAGAGACTGATGCTGAGATCACACACACTGATGCTGGACAGTACACGCATTCCTGCGTACCAGGACAGAGTCGCATCACACACACTCAACACTGATGAACACACCACTGAACATGATGATGATGATGAACTATGTTTGTTAATGTTAGGAGTGGGCAGATGAGCTGGAAAACAAGAGAATAAACAGAAATATGGATAAATCTAAAAATTAATCTTATTTTGAGTGTAATAAGTGTATCGCGCGCACACACACTACGAAATAATGAAACATTTGAGTGTATAAATATTTAAAGGAATATTACGGGTTAATTTCAACTTAAGCTCAATCTTAAGCATTTTTGACATATTGATTGCCACAAAAATGTGTTTCCATTTTTTCACCAAAACAAACAAACAAACAAAAAAAACGCTAAAAAACGCTGAGTGGTAATTCCACCTTGGAATAAAAACGTAAAATATAATTGCAAATTTTTAATTTCATAATTCTGACTTTTTTCTCACGTTTTTTTCTCGAATTCCGACTTTTTTTTAAGTTAAAAAGCCCAATTCAGAGGAAAAACGTTGTTTCCGTAGAATTGCGAGTTTATAAAATGCCAACAACATGCGCGTTAACATGGTTTTAGTATGAAAAATCACTTGCCAACCTTTACTGTGTAAAGTTATAGCCAATTTTACAACTTTTTTCCCACGACAATATGCCATAAAACGTAAAATGACACTAAAAGTGCTTCTGAAGTTTCCTTCGAATCCTCCAAATATTGGCCTCATTGACATCAATTATAAGTGTCTCACCGTTACAGTACCTCCAAATGAGTGATGAGCCTAAATGATCTTTACGTGGTAATCGACTCAATGCTACAAATGTTGTGGATTTAGTTTAACTTGAAGGACGAGACAAATGATCTCTACTCACCATAGACAGAGACATTGAATGTTGTCGTTGATAGTTTTGCTCCATTTAACTCTAGTTTATAGACTCCAGTGTGTTCAGTTGTGGTGTTTGTGATGGTCAGAGATCCAGTTTGATTGTCCAGCTTCAGTCTGTCTCTGAATCTCCCATCAGGAACATCATCATATGTGGAGAAGATTCGGTTCTCAATGCTGATTTTAGCTATCAGAGAGTTTTCAGCGCCATATTTCCACAGTATGTCTTCGTCTTCATGTGTTTTCGTGGAAGTGTTTAAAGTGATAGAATCTCCCTCCATCACTGACTGTATTTTATTTGTTTCAGAGCCAAACACACCTAGAGAGTAAACAAGAACAGATTAAGTCTTCTTTTTGTTTCATTTATTTATTTTACAAAGCCTGTTAGCTAGTTTTAAATCATACATTAATTGCTAGAAATTGCTGTCTGTTACTCTGTTCTGAAGTATGAAGTCATGCAAATGCTTATAACTTACCATTTAGACGGCACCTGCACAAACAGAACAAAATAAACACGAGAAACATTTTCTTCAGTAGTTCAGTGAAAAGTTTGACCTAAATAGACTATCTGCTTGATCAAGCTGGTGTGAGTCCTCCCACAATGAGGTTTACCCACCTTCACACAACCGGAACGCATGTCATATAGTCTATAGTTCCTTCAAAATAATCCTCGGCCTCGTATTAAGACTAACTTTTTTAATTGTGGATTTTAAAAATCATTTAAGATTGACAATGTTGCATGATGTTGTGTATTAAATACTGTGCTTATAAGACCATTGTATAAATCTGTTTGAATTACATTGGTAAAAAAAAGATCTACTTGATTTCAAAATTATTTTATAATTAAATTAAGTTATCCATAATGTATTATTTTTTTTTTTTTTATGGGGGAAAAAAGCAAAACGAAAAGTTAAAACTGTCTGTCTGCTAACATTGTCACTATTGAGGTGTGAATCTTTTTTTCAGTGCAACATGAGTCAAACTGAAACCTGTGGTTTGATTTCTACAGAAACATGGTTTGATCTGCAAAATGGACAAACATCTTGGCCATTGGTTTGATGCGAGCCTCTTCCTGTCCTGCTGTTATGAGCCTCACAGTGTGATTTCCTCTTTAGGTAATCCTGCTTTACAGAGTAATAAACTACTGAATCAATCCATCAAAACTAAAAACGGTTAAAGAGTCAATATGTGAGTGCTGTGAGTGTGACTAGTCTCTGTTAGCAGTGGAAAGGTTGTTTTGTTGTTGATGCGTAATAAATAGATAGATAGAATAGAATGTGAAGTTCTTAAGTTAGTCCTTAAGTTGTTTCTTGTAAATAGCTAAAGAGTAGATCAGTTTGAGTTAGGCAGGTCATTCCACCAGCAGGGAACAGTCATCGTAAAGCTCAATGAAAGTGGTTTTGTTTCTGTTTTGGGAGGATGGCACCACAAGGCGCTGTTCACTTGCATCTGGAGGACACATAGGTCTGACATAGTGAGTTTATAGGGGAGCAGAGCCAGTGGACCGTTGTGGATCAGTTGCAGAGGCCTGACAGTCAAATCTGGATAGAACACACTAAATAATACACTGAAATAAGGACTTTTTCTTATTTGTTTATTCTTTTGTTAAAAAAAAGTTATTTTGACACAAATTAATTTCAGTATCATGTTCAATCCACTTTAGGGTAGTGTAGCAATTTCAGTACTTACATATTAGCTTTAAAAGCATATGAACCCACCCTCCCTAAGAACATCTACAAAGTTTGGGAAGTGATAATTACCCTATTTGGACAAAGATGAATGACCAATGTGTACATTTAGGTAACTGGTTCCCAAGATGGAAAATGAAAGAGGCCTATTATAGTAACATTATAGTATGGTAGCAAGTGGAAAGTTGATGGGGATTATGTCACATTCAGGTGATGATGATGTGTTGTACAGCGGCGGATCAGTTATTCACTGCAAACGCATCATAATATGTGAACGCACTAACAGCATCGCTCCTGCACTGCAACACACACTGCAAATGGGTGTGAAACGGACGTTAGATCCACCTACAGTTCTTAGAAACTTAGATGTGTTTAAGAACTCTTTTTTTCGTACAACAGCAGCACTCATCTTCTTTGTTTATTAGTGGATGCGGATGACCAGTCGTAGACCGGAAACTGATATGCCGACTTCGAGTAGTATGAAGCTGCAGACTCTGAGACCTGTGTAAGACTGGAAAACTGGAACTGGTTGATGTAATCAGTGACCAGTGTCTTCTGAAGACAAGAGGACCTTGCTTGAACAGCAGGAGATAGGAGGCTTCCTGAGGAGTCATAAGCGAGGATACACAGGTGCATGATCCTACGCGGAACTGTTATGTTGACTAAACGTGACGCACGTGTCAATTCTCCTCCCCCTTCACATCGGTCACAATCATTTTAATGAAGAATCATGAAGAATCATAATAAATAATAATAAAGATAGGCTATACTGTTGAAATATCTGAGATGTGTGGTTTGTATAAACTGTTTGCAGTATACAAACCACACATCTCAGATATTTCAACAGTATAGCCTATCTTTATTATTATTTATTATGAATTTATTAAATAACCAAACTTCAACATCAAAAGGGCAGATCCTTTTAGCGCTGCTGATGACACTGTGGAGTGAAGCTCGAGTGATCAAGTACTCCAATGGTTATAAAAAAGCTTTTATTCGATTCCTCTGTCCTCCTTTCCTTTCCTCGCTTCCTTCCCTCGCGTCCTACAGGGGGTGGAGCTGAGACGCAAGGAAAGGAAGCAAGGGAAGGAAACGAGGATGCACAAATAAGAAATGAGAAGCACCCCAGACCTTCAGCCGAAACAAGGGGTGCTTCTCAATATCCCTCCTCGTCTCCTCGCTCCTCCGTCCTCCCTCCTATGACCCGGAAACCGATCGAGCTCAGCCATCTTGAAGGACATCTCAATTCTCTAATTGCACCGTGAGGAGTCGAGGATCGAGGAGATAGGAGGCTTCCTGAGGAGTCATAAGCGAGGATACACAGGTGCATCCTACGCGGAACTGTTATATTGACTAAACGTGACGCACGTGTCAATTCTCCTCCCCCTTCACATCGGTCACAATCATTTTAATTTATACTTTACCTTTGCAGTTTATATAAACCACACATCTCTGATATTTCAACAGTATAGCCTATCTTTATTATTATTTATTATTAATTTATTAAATAACCAAACTTTAACAACATAAGGGCAGATCCTTTTAGCGCTGCTGATGACACTGTGGAGTGACGCTCGAGTGATCAAGTACTCTAATGTATATAAAAAAGCTTTTATTCGATTCCTCTGTCCTCCTTTCCTTTCCTCGCTTCCTCCCCTCGCGTCCTACAGGGGGTGGAGCTGAGACGCGAGGGAAGGAAGCGAGGAAAGGAAACGAGGAAGCACAAATAAGAAATGAGAAGCACCCAAGCAGTAGATGAGGAAATGGTAGAAATTGAGATAACACATAGTATAAAGGAAAAAAAATCAGTAATAAAAGAGAAAATGATTAAAAAGTGGCAACAATATTGGGATAATGAAAGTAAAGGGAGACATTTATATGCAATACAAAAGAAAGTGGGAGAAGGAAGGAAAAAAGGGAGAAATAGAAGGGAGGAAAGTATAATTACAAGACTAAGAGTGGGACACACAGGTTTGAATAAAACATTGCATTTAATAGCTAAACACCCAACAGGATTATGTGATAAATGTGGGCAGAGTGAAACTGTGGAACATGTGATTATTATTTGTAAGGGTTATGAAGAAGAAAGGAAAGTGCTAAGAGAAGCAGTATGGAGTGAAGTGAAGAAATTAACATTGAAGAATATATTAGAGTCAAACATAGGAAATAGTACAGTTGATGTGTTGTTCCAGTTTCTGAATAATACAGGTTTAATAAAGAGATTGTAGGATTAATATATAGGATTAAGTAAGGAAAGCTAATTTGAATGGTTAAGAGTATGGTGAGAAGCGGGAGTTAAAGGGAGGTGGGGCGGATACTGGAGGAGCTGAACACGCAGCGGCAGTGGTTTTTTTTTTTTTTTTTTTTTTTTAGGGGTGGGGAAGGATAGAAATCAAATGTTGAGTAATATAGGAAGTGGTTCTGATCCAAGCTACCAGATGATGGCAGTAATGCACTGATAAGTGCGGTTGCCAATAAAACAAAAGAAGAAGAAGAAGAAGAAGAAGAAGAAGACCTTCAGCCGTCAGTCTGAAGGTCTGGCTACGCGAGACTAGGCGGGCTCAGACATAGCCCATAGCCCATTATTATGCTCGTTCTCCGTTAAGTATCCAAATCTGATATGTTTTTTTTTTTCGGGAAAGTGGTTAAAATGCAGCTTCTCATTTGGTTGGCCGTATTCCTCTGGTGTTTATTCGATCATGGTAAGAATTTTAGGCTTAGTTTCTCTTCCTGCCGGCCGGTGTTTTGTGAACTCTAATCGCTATAAAGGCAAAATTGATATGCATTCACGTTTGTATTTTGCAGTGTGTTTTTTAATTTGAAATGTTTTATCATTTGTATTTTGCAGTGGGTTTTCCTGATCATTATAAGATTGCTATCTCTCTTTTTTAACATTAGGCCTCTGATTTGTTTACGTAATCGCGGTTAGCTTATGCCGAGTTCAGACTGCATGATTTTAGCCACGATTTTGGCTCGCCGACAGGTTTTGAGAAATCACCGACAAATGCCCGAAATCACAGGCAAATCGGCGCTCGTTCACGCGAGTGACAATCACGCAGTGTGAATGAACAAAGACGCGAACTGAGAGAATCACCGACGAGTCGCCGACGCCCGTGAGATATTTGGCATGCTAAATATCTGGACCTGTCGGCGATTCAAAATCCTGCTGTGTGAAAAGTGTTTTGACTGAAAACTACATCGGCGATCACCGGCAGCCAGTGAGAGAGCAAGATACAGAGCAGCGGGGAGTTCGGGGAGGAGTTATAGATCACATATCAACATGATATGGCATTGTTTCAACAAAAAAAGCTTCTTCTCGGTTTATTTGGACACAATAAATGGAAGAAAAATGAGTAGAAATTTGGCAGGAGCACTCGTGTCTGTTTCACCAGCTGTACCACAACCGGGTCGAAAAAAAAAGTCTCACATGAGAACTCCGGTCTTGCACGTGTGGTGTCGCGCGTTGTTTCCTTTTCATATCTCACGCGTGTTTGTTGTGAAATGTAGTTTGCGTGCAGCGTGCTAGACAGAGTCTGTCGGCGATTTTTCTAAAGTCATGCAGTGTGAAACCTTCTGTCGCCGATCCATCGTCCAGTGTGAACACAGCAGCGACTGAATGCTGGCCAAGATAGTCATGCAGTGTGAAAAGAGCAGCGACCTGACTACTTTGAAAATCGTGCAGTCTGAAAGAGCCATTAGCCGACGCTGAACTTCAGTAACGAACGTTAACGTTACGTGTTTTGTAACTGATTGCATATTTGACAGGAATAACATTTTTCATTTGTATTTGGCTTTTTGTGTGTTTTACTTCACCATTGTTGTCTTCGACTGAGGTTAACTCTTCGGCTAACCATAGGGCGACAGTTTTGTATCAGCTCTAATCTTATATTCGAAAGCATTTAGCCTATAAGTTAGTTGTTTTCTGCTTGTATTTTCCATTTATTTGTTTCTTGTCCACGATAAAACGAAACGACGAACGTCGTAGCGCCCTATCTGCTTCGTGTGGCGTCCATTTTGCAAGATGTAAACAACACTTCCTGTTTCACTTTGTAGTTGTTTTCTTTATTTCACATGTAAAGAAAACATCGTAAAGATGTTTGTTTAACTTTTTGATTCAGTTTTATATGTTCTGTTGTTTGTATTTTATCCCAGCTTTTGTTATGTAATGTTAAAAAACTGAAACAGGAAGTGCTTCTTGACCAGTGTTGTTTACATCTTGCAAAATGGTAGATTATTTTACAGATTAATTACAGATTCAAAGTCTCCAAGCAATGCCATTTTTTTATTTTTTATAAACTGCTTGAACTAGAGACTCATCAATTTAATATCTGGTTTTGTTTCGGACACTGAAATCAGAGGAAATAAGGAAAAAGACTCGTCAGAATTCACACAGCACCTCTTATGGGTATAAAACCAATAATTAATTTCTATATTAATAACAAATGGCAAACAAAATGGGATTAATACACTATTAACAAACTTCCTTAAATCAGCACCAATGTTGGAAGAAGGATTGCTATCGAATCTCAAACCGATGATTGTTTAAACCCATTGCAGAACGTTTGTAATTCTAGGAGAAGATCCAACATGTTATTTCTGTCAAAACTCTTATCATTGAATTATTACACTGATTTTAACCCTGTGAGACACTTTTTTTGTATTCAGTTTACTTGTATTGAAGATTAAAAGTTAAACCAAATGTAGTTTTTGAGTTTTTAGCAATAATAAATTGCAAATGCCTAATATAGTTTTGCCATAACTTTTTCTTACCATGCCAATCGCCAAAGAATCTGGCATGGTGTTAGAGACAAACAAACAAGAAAACACAATGAATGCATATATAAAAGCTACATGATATATTTACATGTTTACTACAAGACAAATTAAGATGATTTACCTTGATCATCCAATTCAAAAAGGCTTGTAATGCATCACACTTCTCTCCTGAGCATTTGCAAATGTTTTCACCTTTTTAAATATTTGGCTGTGAGTCCTTCATACCTCAGTGTGGAAATATGAATATTAATATCATACAGTCACTGCTGAAATACATGGGTTCAAATAATGTTATGTGAAACAGCTTATTCAGGACCAAATAGATAACATGACATTTTTATGATTCCTTCTTGTTAAAATGAACACAGCACGTGTTATGCAACATTATGAGCAGAATTATATATGATCGATCAAGTTAAGATCCTTCATGAGACTCATGTATGATAGTCTGATGAGTGAATGTGTGAATCAATGATGATCTTCTGATGTTTGATTACATGTTACATTATGAATCAAGGCAGATTTCTCGATTCACAATCTTTATGAACATTGTCACAGCATTTTTCTGTTGTATAATGTTGTTTTGCTCATAATGAACTCTTCATTTCTTCTTCAGGTGCGTCTGATGTTGATCCAGAGAGAGCGTCAGTGTCAGTGATGGAGGGAGATTCAGTCACTCTATACACTGGTGTTCAAACAAACCAACAAGACAAAATTAGATGGTATTATAAAGACACTCGCATCGCTCGAATCAATGGAGATCTTAGTAAGATCTGTACAGATGTTCAGTGTAATGAAGGCACTGAGAAATTCAGAGACAGACTGAAGCTGGATCATCAGACTGGATCTCTGACCATCATGGACATCACAAACACAGATGCTGGAGAATATACACTGAAGATCAGCAGTGGCAAAAACGAGAGTGACGAGATCTTCAGTGTGACTGTCCGTGGTGAGTCATTATGTTAAAAGCAGTCTTGTACATTTTTAAATCACATCATTAATGTGTTCAGTGAACTATTTTGCTTTGACATTTTGCTATTTTGCCTTTTCTCTTTACGTCTAAAATCTCGTTATTGTTCATATAAGTTACACTGTTGCAACACCTGTTTTAATATTAGTTTAATTTAAATCCTTCTTCCGAAAAGCACAGTCGGCTCTTATTATTAGTCAGCCGACCCCAGTGTGTTGTAATTTGGTCTACCGCTAGTGTGTGTGTGTGTGTCAGAAATGTAACCATAACCGTGGACTGTAAACACTAGTGTAACTGCTCTGGTGTCAGTTTTGCTAATCAGTTTAAAGGTCCAATATGTAAGAATTTTGTTATAAAATATCCAAAAATCACTTGCACAGTGTGATATATTTCCTGCAGTTGTGTACTGACAATATCCCAAAAATCTCCAAAGTTCTTTTATTTCAGAAAAATTCCAATTTTAAATAAGTGGCTGTCCCGGGAAAAAAAATGTCGCCTGTCAATGACGTAATATCCGCGCTATCCTCAGCTATCCTCTTTTCCGCTCGAATTGCCATAGCCATGACGTAACCATAGCGACAGACGCGGACAACTACGTAGTGAGTAACGTTTAGCGGCACCCAGTTCTTGTTTCGTTCAATCATAGACCATGGCAAGCAGATTTTGGGAAAAACAAGGAGAACTAGAATGACTATCAATATCAGCGTGATGTTTTTAAGATGCCTTTACAGCTTTATTAGACAGGTGAGCAAATGTACATAAAACAAATCAGTGTTATAACGTTAGCTTGACATGATGAAATGTTAGAATATGGTCAGTATGTTATTCTTATGTTGATCTAGCTGCTAGTTTCGTATAGCAAACAAACTACAGTAACATGTAGAATAACATAAATTTCAACACACATTTAAATGCCGTTTAGTGTGATAGTGTAACGTTATACCAAGTGGAACAGCGCTTCGTTTCCCTCGCAAGTTTAATTCGTCTAATAAACTGACCTGTGTGAGTAATCCAGCACTTGCGTGTAGTTCAATTATAGGATGAAATCTCCTTATTCCTTTATATCTGCGGGACTCGCGTGTAGGGTTGGGTATTGTTTGAATTTGAACGATTTTGATTCCGATTCCTTGTTTCGATTCCGGTTCCTATCGATTCTCAATTTCGATTCTTTTAAGAGGCAGGGTCAAAAAAGTTTAGATAACCTTGCTAACCAACGGTCTTTCTGAAGGAAATACTCCTTCTGTCACAAATACTTGTCACAAATTTTGCATTTTGCCGAGATTTCGTTAATTTTTAGAAAAGTGAAGTCACACTTTGGACCGCCGACATAAGCTACTCATGTTCGACTCGCGCGGTTATGCCAACACTTCCGGTAGACACTTCTTCGTTGGTGTTGTTCAGCGGTTTCTTCTTCCGCTCGGCGGACTGTGAATATCGAAACTAGGAATTGAAATTTTAACTTTTGAACGATTCCGGGAAAAACGAAAAGTTAGTCCTGGTTTCTATCGATACTCGATTCTCGATACCCAACCCTACTCGCGTGTGATGTATCTTATTCGCAATCGCAACCTGCTTCATAACCACTGTAATGTTATGAAACATGAGTGTTTTCACTGATCCTTGAACATTATTAGATCCATCAGCTTGACAGCAAGTCCCATCATTCAGCTCGTCACTGCGTCACATTCGCCTTTGTTATTGTTGGAAACGGGCGCCCTCTTGTGGCCAATAAAGTTACATATTGTAGCTTTAAGCCTGAGTCCAATAATGACCGTTAAAAAAGGGTTATTTTCCAAAAATGAAGATTCTCATTTACTCTCCCTCATTTTGATCCAATCTTCAGAACACAAATTTAGATACTTTTTATATAATTTGAGCTTTTTCTGTCTGTCCAGTCTACGCAACTGATGCTTCAAAAAGTACATAAAGAGATATGAAGAGAGTGGTTTAGTCCAATGATGATGATCAGATTTAACTGGGGCTTTAATTCGTATAAATTAAGGATGGGCCTTTTCAAAAAAATATTGCATTAGGTTATTTGGGCTCATAAAAAATTAATATTGTTATATTTGTTTATTTGTATATATTATTTAAAAAAAAACTTTTGTCATTCAGAATCATTATATCTCAACAAGCTTAGCAAAATACACAACATGCTTGCATTACATCTTGAGATTTTCTTTTACTTGAAATAATTAGAGTGTGTGTAAATATTCAGTATAAAAGCATCAAGCTGAACTACCTTTGCAACTTTCCACAGTGATAATTCTTAAATTTTGTAATGTTAAGAATTAATTTTGAGCACTGTTTCCTAAGTTCATTGGCCTTCAAAATGACAAAGTAGAGTGAGATTGCAGTTGAAAACCCAGTTTCGCTTGAACATGGCTAAACAACACAACTAATTCAACCACATCCCTTAATGTAGTGTATTCCTTGAAAGGGAATTATTTAAAAAAGGACTATTGTGATGTGTTTGTTCCTGGAAAAAAACACTCAAGACTACAATTTAAATGAGTTCAGAAACTGATATAGAGAATAATTCATTCTGGATGGGCTTTGCAGCGTTTATTTCATGCTCAAACAGCAATATCATAAAGCTTTAAAGGTGCTCTGTAAACACATGTTGTTGTTTGTAAATTGGTTAAATGTTAGTTTTATCGCTCGGTTTTGTTCTGGACAGTTTCTTATTTCTGATCACCGTCTGTTATTGTCTATTTTAATACATCAGTGTATAAAGTGCAGTGTTGATTATAATGTAAAAGTTGCTTTTCAAACTGAAAGTCAAAGCATGTTTTATTGCACAGTGTAAAAAAGATCCTCCAGCATCTGTTGGTTTGTGTTTCAGGTGTTTCTGGACGAGATGAAGCGAAGAGAAAGACAGCGAAGGAGGGAGAATCTGTTACTTTACATCCTGGTGTAATAAGAAAACCAAGTGGTGTGATGACATGGTATTTTAATGAGATTCTCATCGCTGAAATCACTGGAGATCAGAGTCAGATCTGTACAGATGATCAGTGTAATGAGAGATTCAGAGATAGACTGAAGCTGGATCATCAGACTGGATCTCTGAACATCACACACACCACAAACACACACTCTGGAGAATATAAACTACAGATCAACAGCCGCAGATTCAGCATCACTAAGATCTTCAGTGTTTCTGTCACTGGTGAGTTTTATTTCATCATTCAGTGCATTTTCACTTGATTATTTTTATAATACAGCCTGAAATAGTGCAGCTTAAATCCTCCCAGTAAATGTGTTCATTGTGGATAATCTCCATAATGTAGTGCCAACAAAGAGATTGACTGTTTTCACATTGAGTCACATTATGAATTGTACAATTTTGAGTTGTTTTGTTAATGATGAAAAAACATGCTCAATATTAGTCAGTTTTCATGTGAACGGCATTGATTTTGCTGCTGTTGCTCAAACACACACCATTTATCAAATGAATCACATCATACAACTTTACACTGAAAGCATAAAGGTGTAAAAATCAGTCAACAATATTGATTATAGAGAGTTGATTATCAGTCGATCTCTAGTAATAATATGTGTGTGTGTGTGTGTGTCTTCATCTGTTCCAGATTCAGGATTATCTTCAGCTGCTTTAGGAGCAATATGTGCTGCTGTTGGTGTTGCTGTTATTCTGCTTGCGGCTGCTGGGATTTACTATCGCCACAGATCAAAACAATCAGGCAAGTGTTACATGCAGCTGATTGTGGAAAATATAAATAAGATATTTAATGTGCAAAATATTCTTTAAAAACATGTATAATTATGTATTTTTATTCTAAGTGACCAAAGAGTGTGTTGTTGTTCAAACAGGAAACAGTACACAGCGAGATGATCATGATCAGGTGAGATACTGTGAGCTCTGAATCTCTGTCTGTGAAACACTGACTTTACTACAGATTGGTGTTTGTTAGTAGTGTGCATCATGACCCAATTGCATGAAAACCCTTTATTAACAAAAATATATAAAATTTATATTTTATATAAAAATATATCAAATATATATATTTCTGTCAAACTCTCAGTGGAAAAGATGGAAAAAATTATGAAACTGAAGAAATAAACTAGATTAACTATGTAAGTCGGAAGAACTGGTTGAAGAGATCAACTTCACCACATGTCTGAGACGAAGGACATTGCTTGCAAATTAACATTTGAACACCTCTCACACACACACACTCCTTCCCCGCATCACCACAGACCACAATAACTTTCCACTGTAAACTCATGTTTTACATATCAAATGAGGTCTGGATAAATAAAGAAAAATAAAGAAAGAAAATCCTGTCATCCAGCCATCTCCTCTCTTCTTCTTTCATCCTCATCCTTTTTACCAAAAACATGTTTTAGGTGGACAGAATAATAGAGTACAAAGAACATAAAAATATATAAAAATAAAGTATTTTCTGTTAACCAAATGCTTTTTAATCTTCGCTTTTGCTTCACTGAAATTGAACAAGTGCGCTGTTTTATTTTGTGCGTTGTGACGTGGATGTTCAAGTAAGCCAGATATGCACAGATTATTTAATATATCATGATGAATCACGAGTATTTGCTCTAAATCTGCACATATTTGTCTCACACACACTTCCCCAGTAAAGTGAGGGAACAGTAACACACTAAATTTGACAGTGTTATCCGCCACAGTTGATTTTTAATCACATTTGTTCATTTCAATCCCTGGTTGCAACACATGACAGAACTAAAGGAAACACTTAATCAATTACAGGATAATATTTAAAAATGAGCTTAAGGTTTTTTTCTTGTAACCCATGTTTCACTAAGGGCTTCACTTAAACTTATAACTGTGTCTTCTTAATTTGAGGACTTTGTTGCAACCAGACCGTTTGAGTTTCATTTATAAATCATCACACAGAATCACTGATAATAACAGGCTTATTTAAGAGAGTGCTTCTCTTGTCTTGTTTTACTTCAGAAATAAAGAATAAGTGTCTTTACATTCACAAACAACAAACATCAGAGAGAAAAACATATCTGTGTTTAACCAAAATCATCAATCCTGAACATTTGTTTGACCCTGTAAGAGAAACCGTACAGGACAGGAATGTTGTGCTCAACAGCTGAATGTTAAATTCAATGTACAGACCATTTCTCAGTTTATAATATTGTATTGGAACCTAAATTATACATTTAATAAATTTGTATTCCTTCATTCTGTGAATCTGCTTCTTTCTTTCAGGAGAATGCTGTCACAGTGCCCCTTAAGGAGAGGAATGGGACTGCCCCGATGGCTAATGCTAATGGAACATCTTCTAGTGTGACTCTGACTAATGGGATTTCACAGTAACATTATTTATTATTTTAATAGTTTCACTGAAAGGGAATTTGAAATGAAAAAAGGAATTGTAAGAAGGTCAGAATGCAATTCTCATTACTCGGGGAGAAATTGTGTTCAATACCAGCGACTTGAAGTTTTTCTTGCCAAAACCAATTTTTAACAAAATCTAGGGGTGTAATGGTACATGTATTTGTATTAAACCGTTTCGGTTCGAGGCTTCTGGTTCGGTACGCATACAAACCGAACAATTACTTGGACCATTTTTCCTGAGGACAAAATTTCGCTGGCGCGGCCACCACACGGCGTTGCGCGACATCAAATGACAAGCGTAATGAAAGCGGAACGAAACTGCGCTACTCATTAGCTGTGTCCCAATGTGAAGGCTGCATCCTCCGAAGTCCGTATTTGAAGGACGCTTCCCAGACAGCAAACTGACATTGAATCAACGTGGAAACGACGTCTCTCATGACATTGAAACAACGTTGATTTTGCTCATCGAATTAACGTTGAACCAACGTCAGACGCGGCATTCTTCAAAGCTAAATGAAAATCGAAAATTGGTTTGCTTTCATAACGTTGAAACAACGCGTTGATTTCAAGTTGATTTTCCGTTAGTTTTGAAAGAATGACGCGTCTGACGTTGGTTCAACGTTAATTCGATGAGCAAAACAATGTCAGATCAACGTTGTTTCGATGTCATATTTCCACGTTGATTCAATGTCAGTTTGCTATCTGGGTTGGCCGTATTTGAAGACCGATTGCGTCACAGCCGCGCAACGAAGTACGTCCCAATTCAAAGGCTGCATCCGCGAAGGCCGCATTTAAAGGCCGATTGCGTCATCGCGGTGGGATGAAGGCTGTCCCAATTCAGTTATGCATCCTTCGAAAGCCGTATTCGAAGGCCGGTTGCGTCATTGCAGCGCGACGAAGGCTTACCTGATTCAAAAGCGACGCCAAATGCACCCTTCGTTTCCCCGTGAAAGGAAGGATACATAAATGGACACTTCGCGGACTATCCTACCCGATCCTACCCCATAAATCATTGCGCGGGTGACGACAGCATTTTTATTTTTAAAAAAAGGGTGACCGAGAGTTCAGTGGTGGACGGCAAATTCACATTTAAATGTAAAAGTATTATGTTTTTATTTACTCAAATAGCCAGAGAAACCAGTGTGAGCCAAAAGTTTTTTTTTTTTTTTTCTTCTTATTCATCTTAACTCATTCGTCAGCATTGCATGGTTTTGTCAAGTGGAAATGCGAAAACGGCTTTTATAGCCTTGTATTGCATTTCTTGTACATTGTATTTCTTTATTATTCATTATTTCATTATTTTATGCAACTTTAAATGTGTAGCCTACACAAAAGATAATTCATGGCTCTGGATATTTGTTTATTTTTGTAAGGGTCTCTGAGTGTTTGCAAGGTTGATACATTTAAACTATAATATACTTTTGTTTTGTGTCGTTTAATGTAAAATGTGTAGTGTTGTGGTCCTGTGAGGGAAAAGGGTAGGCTACTTCACATTTGTACATGAATACTATCGCAGTATGAAGTTCCTTACATTCTCCCACTGGTTATTTTAAAAATTAAAGTAACAAATTGTTGGTCCATTGTCACAATATTAACAAATTGTTGCTAACTTCAACTTCGTCCCATATCAAAGTGCGCACCTGAAGCGCTCGGACCGGTCTAGCCTGCGGAGGATTGTTCTTGTCGCCTAGCAACTGTGACTGACAGCTGACGACGACGAGCGGGAGTAACAACGTTTGCACTGGACTTTTTATATCCAACTGGTTTAAAATATTCAAATAGGATTGACAGCCTGTATAAATATATTCACCATGGTCCATTTAGACAATAAAAAGAAAACCCTACAAAATCGCCTCAAGGTACGATTAACATTTGAATAGGCTATTGGCTATATATGTGCCTATGTTTTATCATTATTATTTTTTAGGCTATTTCATTACAATATTTACGTAGGTTAACACCCAATATTTGAACAGTTTACAGTGTAATCTGGCTATTCAGGACGCAGCCTCTAGCATTAAACCAGCTCTGGCCAACTCTTGAGCCGAAAATACATGACTCGAAATATTTTTTTAGTGGTTATGTGAATTGAAATTATGTGATTTTATATATGAAGAGTTCAGATGCAAAAGCCTCTAAGTGCCATTTGAAATTTTCTTCTAGAATGATCATTTTTATCAAGCTTGTATATTTAAGTTCAATGATTTCACTTAAATGGCAATGATAATTACCTACTAATTGTTATTTAAGTAAAATTACTGAACTTAAATATACAAGTTTGATAAAAATCATCATTAAAGAAGAAAATTTCAAATGGCATTTAGAGGCTTTTGCATCTGAACTCTTCATATATTGCCCCTCATTTAAAGACAGGAAAATATAAAACATAAAATTTCCAGTAAAATATAAAACAACAAAATAACAGTAGCCTGTCTCCATAGCTGTTTACTCAGTTTCATTAACCCTCTGATGGTCTTCAAAAAAAAGTCACACTTGTGGTCTTCGGGGTCTATTGGACCCCAGACAATAAGATCTAATTTTGTAACAGAATAATATATATATTTTTTAACAAATATAATTTTACTCTGTTTATTAATGATTTTACTCAACATTTGTGTAGTTTTTGGAGGATTTGTGATTTTTTATTTATTTCTATAAATAAATAAATATTTATTTAAATAGGATATTTACAAAAAAACAGCATTTTATGTTAAATAGACTTTATAACAGACCCAGATTTCTAACTTTCATTCCTAGGGGTTACCATGGATAAGTTTACAAGGTTGAATGTAAGATTTTTGCCCATTTTTTTGAAAATACAGGTTCAAATTTGTAATAAGTCACTTTAACCACTAGATGTCTATAGAGCTCCACTATAGGCCTATATAAGGCCTACATACTATTTGAATTACTGAAAGATTTTGTTTCTAAACTTGGATTCAGTTGGATTCATATCTAAATATTATAAAATTACAATTATAACAAAAATAAAATACTTTTTGTCAAAGTTTAGCATTTGTTTTTGTAAAAAAAAAAAAAGTAAATTGGGAAGAAAATCGAACAACTAGGATCAATAGTTTGGAACAATAGAACAATAGTTGGTCTCATCTCTTTTATCTTTTTTATAGCATTACAAATGTATTCCTGTGTGTGTGTGTGTGCACATTTCCAACGTGTCTTAGTGTTACCAATTTATTTTTGCGGTGGTTCTGCATTTTAGAGTATTTTATTTTACAAATGATAAGAGAACAGTTTTTATAGTCTGTATGTATTCCTGTATATTGTATTCCTCAATATGTGTGTGTTTGTGTGTGTGTGCATGTGTGTGAGCATGATAATTTTGGATTGTGGATGTTTTTTGCATTGTTGGAAGTGTGCCACTTCATTTCTGTCATTTCTGTCTGTGTTCTGCGTTATTTCTGATTTTGATGATGAATTTTGTCTATTTTGAGTCCAATGATAAATAAATATTTATTTATTTATTTATTTATATTTAAAAGATATCATAAATCCCCTAAAAACTGCACAAATGTTGAGTAAAAACATTAATAAACAGAGTAAAATGATATTTGTAAAAAAAAAAAAACTATTGTTCTGTTGCAAAATTACGTTATTATTTTTTGGGGTCCAATGGACCCCGAAGACCACGAGTGTGACTATTTTTGTCACGCCTACATAAAAACAGATAGAATTCCATTTTAATTTTTTTTTTGTAGATCTAGACAGTGTTGAGAGCCGTAGGAAGTTTCATACCATTTGGAAAAAGAGAACATTTTTTTTAATTCAAGCAAAAGTCATTTGGGGTCCAATGGGCTCTATGCACGGCGGTATTTCCGGTGAAGCATTAGGGATGCTCGATAACTTCCGCCGATCATAGAGTCCAATGCAATAGCGAGAATTTATATTGAATTTTATACTCCATGGTTATACTAATGAAACGTTAGTCACAAAAACAGATAAAACAGACACCCCTCGTTGTGTTTATGCTTCTTTTTAAAATTATATCAAATAAACATAACTGTATATAAAATTACATCTAAACGTATGTACGTTTCGTTTCAAAGACGGGAGGACAGTAAATATTGAAGACTCTGCCATAATCCCGTTTTCTCCGGTTTTCCTCCGCTTTAATCTACACAACCGGAAATAGACGAGCATCCTTGCGTCAAATGCGGAACTTATGCGTGCATATAGCCCATAGACCCCAAAGACCATCAGAGATGAATGATCAGGGTGGCAGCTGTACTCTCGCTCCGTTGCTTGGCGCCAGGAGCAGTAATAGAGAACACCTGGTTGCGCAATTAGGAAATCCCACGACGGCTACATGAAGCGTCCTTCGAAGGCCAAATAGACTGCATCCTTCGAAGTCTACAGCCTTCGAAGTATGCAGCCTTCACATTGGGACACAGCTATTATGTGCTTCACGGATCGTTTAACAGTTCGGAGCAGCAACATCTATGCAGTGCGAGCCAATCTCGATCAAGCGACAGTTAATACACATCCAGCAAAGAAAACATTTGGATTAGCCTCTGAAGTAATAACATCGCTGCGAGATCTAGTGAGAAGCATTCACATTTCTCCGTTAGTAACCGTAGATCTCTATTAGATCAGACAGCGCTGACGTGGAAACCAGGAGAAACATGTGCCGTGAATGAGCTAGTAATACTTTACGTCCACACACCAGCAACATTCACCATGGATTTAATTTAGTAACACTATAAACTCAAATAGTGTATTATATAAATAAATATATATTTAAATGTTATTTTGTTTTATTTAATTTCTCTGGCATTTCTTTCTTTTTGCTGTATCAAACGTACCGAACCGTGACTTTAAAACCGAGCCACGTACCGAACCGTGATTTTTGTGTACCGTTACACCCCTAACAAATACTAATATCAGCAGTGAAACCAAGAGTGCCTGAAGATTTTGAGTAGGAAGTGAATGTATTATTGCAGCTGCCCTAATGATCCACTGTATTGAATTGAATCCACATGCGTTTACATTTGGCATTAACATGCAATCACCGTGATCCGATCATTAGCCAATCAGGACATAATGCGTTTACAGTAGCCTATCCTGTGTATGTGGATAACCGGTCGGATTTCTGTTTCCTGCATAATAGTTAAATTGGGTCTGTGGCACGACACCACATTAAGAGTAGGCTAAAGATGATACAAATTAAACAATGTCCCAATTGCTTTCACTCACTCAATTTACTTTCCTATGCAATCTCCAGTAATTGGATCAAATTAAGTTTTTTGAACAATGCAATAAAGCAATAAAAACATTCAACATTTAATAGATTAAACAATTCAGATTCCGATAATTCCTCTGGGAATTATCAGCAGCGGCAGCTCTTCATTGAGATCTCACGACTGATTGTACTGGCGATCGCCTCGTTCAGATAATGTTGCGCAATTAAGATGATAAATGACACGCGTATCATGTAAGTCTAAATAAACTGTTTTAAAGATTGATGTTTATCGTAAGGTACAAATAAGTTTAATTTCTTGTCTAAACTGCGTCCGTTAGTCTATTTTCTGACAGGCCCTCGGGGAGACTGGGCAGGGATTTATGCCGTCCATCTGTGAATACAGACACGATGGCTGGATTGCGTTTACATTAGAGATCTGATCTTAATGCGTCCTCGACTATCTCCGAACCTGGACACGCTGATCGGATAATGTTGTTCAATGTATTTGTGGATCATCCGGATACAGTTCGCATGTTAATGCCAAGTGTAAACGCAGCCCACACGTAAACTGTTGAATGACTGATATCGGCATCTTGGCAACACTATCCCAGCTAAGAGGGAACATAAGCTTCTGACAGTAGTGTTAGTAGAATATTAGTTCAAAATGATTTGGTGTTAAATAATATTCTCAAAATGTTATCACAAATATGTTATTTAAAAATCATTCACGGAGCATTTGTTTCCTGGAATATTTGATAAATGTTTGGGTTTTTTTTTTTTGTTTGTTTTTTTGTTACTTGTTTCAGAATGTTCAAAGAATATTTATTAGATAAAAAATGTAATGTTTATGTTCAAAGAGTTAAGACATTTAAAAATTGGACATCTCAGAAACTGGATCTGTTAAATCTGCACTGAAAGAAATTGTGGATTGAAGCAGCTTCAAAATGCTGTTTATGTAAATATGTTTATGTAATATATATTTCAGAACTGTTAATGGCTGTTACACAAGCCTTTTGTGAAGCATCTGAATGATGGTTTAAGATCATTGCACAAATAAGTGTTTACATTCACATTTATTAATTTAGCTGACGCCTTTTTCCAAAGCGACTTACAATTGCCATATATGTCAGAGGTCGCACACCTCTGGAGCAACTAGGGGTTAAGTGTCTTGCTCAGGGACACATTGGTGTCTCACAGTGGATTCGAACCCGGGTCTCTCACATTTAAGGGATCTGTCTTATCACCTGCGCCATCACCACCCCTTTTAACAGCTTTTACTGTTAAACTATAGTATTTGTGTTTTATTATGTTACATATTTTTAGATGAATATCTTCATTGAAATGTGTAAAAGTGATTTTTTTTTTTATTCTTATTTTTAAGAAGTAAAATGCAACATTATACCTTTTGTAAAGGATTTGAGATGTTTAGGTTTTTACTGCCGAGTTTGAGCTGGAGTGATGGACATCTGTGAGGCTTTCAAGGTAAAAATACACTCCTTCATCATCTTCCTTTTTCTGTTTTTAAAGCATGTTGTGATGTGCTGTAATTAACTTCATATTGTTATTGTGTTTTCCTGTAGAATATTACTATATGCTTGAAATGATCTCTTGCACTTGAACAGGTAAAGTATGTTTGACTCCAGTTTAATTCTGTTTGTCTGAACAATGGAAAAGGTTTCTAATGGTGCAAATCTCTCTTTCTCAGGGCCGTTTCCAGAGTCAGCTGATCAAAGTTCCCACCAACTGCCTTATAATAGATCCATCCAAAGCATTTCACTACAGGTTGTACTGTAAATGATTGTGTATGAGACCAAGATGAAATTGGACTTGAAAACTGAACGGTTCCTGCTTTGGTAGAATAATAGGATTTATAAGTGTCATCATGGTGCCTATTTTTAAATGAAGAATTTCCATTCTGTAACACGGCCTCAGTAAGAGCGATATTGTGTGCCTTGGGCTCTGAGCCTTTAGATTATTTCTATAATTTTAAGAAACTTAAAGTACTGGACAAAAAAAAAATGCAAACTGTACCATCACTGTAACATTCTTAATACATATAACTTACTCAGTTGGGACAACATTTTAAAACATAGTGATGCATGCATAATCTTTAAGATTAGGTCCCGTTTCTTTGGACTCAATTGCTATGGACTCAATTGCCAGTGGACATTCGAATTTCCACCTCATACTATATATTCTCATAAGGAGAATATATAGGAGGACTGGCTTTTGAGCAAACAAAAATGTATCTCTGATAATATTTAATGTATGTCTTCCTCTATATTTTAGCTGTCCTGTACCTTATGTATGTAGATATTAGGATAGATGGTTACTATTTTAAATATTTGTACAGATGTATGGTTATATAAATATGTTTTATGATGTTATGTTTTAAAATAGCCAGTTATGGCATTATGTTTTATTGTTGTTTATTAATTGCTGTGTGATTTAATGTGCCTAATAACATCATGCCACAGTTGAATATTAGCCTGCGGGCTAACACTGGCACATTTACAGAAATGTTCATTAATGTGCACTGTCCTAAAATAAAGAAATGAAAATGAAATGAAATTTAGCATTAGCAAAGGTAAACATGTATGCATTATTTTCATACAATGGAAAGGAACCTGGAAAATCTGTACATTTATATTCTAGATGCCATTAAAACAGATCTGATTCACTTATAACAGAATCTGTGAATTTGTCATGATTGCAGAGTTTTTTTTCTCAGAATTAACTGAGCGAAGCTAAAGCTGAATCATTTAAAAGCCCTTCAACCACATGCAGACACACACACTACTGACACACACTGAAAACAACCACACCACACTTACCTTCTTCATGCAGAACCTGTTTGTCCATCAACAGATCAAAACATGTTCAAATGAGACGTATAGATGAGTGTTTTGCACTGAAGATGCACACACACACACACACACAGTCTCAAGTACTTTTGAGACTTTAGCAGTCAAACATGAAAATGATAAAATGAACCATAAAACAGATAATTATTAAAAGTCCTTGTATTACAAATCAACTTGTGAGACTACACTGGACATAAAATACACACAGACGTGAACTGTGATGTTTATGGTTATTTTGTGCATAAGTGAGATGTGTGTGTCGAATACACACTGCCGACAGATGTAGCAGACCTAACTAAATTTCTGTTTGTAATATTGGAAATATAAAATTTAGGACATATTAAACATTAATTTATATATTTAAAAATTAAATATTTATTAGCAAAACCTGTATAAAAACTGATGGTCCATTGTCTTCACTAGTTGTGATCACATGAACAATAGAGTTCGCAAAGTTTTTAATCATTGTGAATTATCTACGCTGGATGTAGTTGTGTCTGTAGTTTTAGTTAGTGTAATCCTCTTACACTATAGTATTTTACTGTACGTCACACTGGTGCAACGGCCCCTTATGTTTGATATGTTAATTGCTTTTTGACTCATTTATTCATTTTAAAAAGGCCTGAGTTTTGAAAAGGTTTTTATGAGCCCTACTGAGTGTATTCAGTAAAGAAGTTTCCATTATTTTCCCTGACATTTAACAGTTTAATTCGTTGACCTGTACATTACCATTTTAAAATGATCTGGCAATACATGACAAATGCTTTTATAACTCACCTGTCAGACGGCAGCAGCACAAACAGAACAAAACAAACATTTTCTTCACCCATTCAGTGTCTGATATAATAAAACTTTACGCTGAAAACACTCATTTTGTGTGAATCGTCCCACAACGAGTCTGACCCTCCTAGTTCAAACAAAACCTGAATGCGTATACAGCCTCTAGTTACATCTGGGTGCCACCAATCAAAACTCATTCATGGCTCCCATCATGCATTTGCTGCATGAATAAATTATGAGTTCAGAGGTGATCTGTTTGTCACCATTGCTGAGATTAGTATGTTAAGTCTTGATGTCTGTGTATGCCTATATAAAATATTTTAGGGATTTTTTTTTTTTTTTTGAGTTTTAAATTTTTTTTATCGTTTTTATTGAAAAGGCTGAAAATGTTATGTCCTAAAATGACCGTGCTGCTAAAATCCTTGAGGTAAATTTAACTCAGAATTTATTCTCTTGATGAGTTCAGCGATTCAGGTCAATTAATGATTGTTAAAATACAACCAACACATCAGATCACCTTTTCTGCTTGTTTATCTGGCTGTGATAAGTCACATACTGCAGCCGATCAAAATCTAAAGTTAATGATTTAAGGGTCAAGAGCCCAGCTAAAGCAAACACAGATCACCATAATGGTGACTTAATATTTCCATTATGGAAATGTTTTCTCCTTCAGAGATTCTGCTTGTTATCATCAGGTGTCTTCAATAATGCTCAATCATCACTCAATTATTCACTTAATTATCTCATTAACTTTAACACTGCTACAGTGTTCATTTAACACTCTGCTCAGAATTTATATAATTCTCACTTCTCAGTGTTAATTTAACACTGGGGATTTTGCTGTGTATGAGGATACTGATGCTTCTGTTGAGGCCAGATGGGGAGGATCTCCTCTTTCTTGCTCCATTACCAGGAAAAAGGAAGAGTCGCAAAAAGCAAACAAATCCAAAAGGGCAATCAAAACAAAAAGCAGTCCAGTCCAGATCCAAAAATCCAAAGCAATCCAAATAATCTTATCTAAGACTATAATAAAGCTACTATAATTATTAATAACAATATACTATAAGTATTCTAACCTGATATATTGTAATAATATACAGCCCTAACACATATAAGGATTATTAGGAACACCTGTTCAATTTCTCATTAATGCAACCAATCACATGGCAGTTGCTTCAATGCATTTAGGGGTGTGGTCCTGGTCAAGACAATCTCCTGAACTCCAAACTGAATGTCAGAATGGGAAAGAAAGGTGATTTAAGCAGTTTTGAGTGTGGCATGGTTGTTGGTGTCTGAGTATTTCACAATCTGCTCAGTTACTGGGATTTTCATGCACAACCATTTCTAGGGTTTACAAAGAATGGTGTGAAAAGGGAAAAACATCCAGTATGCAGTAGTCCTGTGGGCGAAAATGCCTTGTTGATGCGAGAGGTCAGAGGAGAATGGGACGACTGATTCAAGCTGATAGAAGAGACACTTCGACTGAAATAACCACTCGTTACAACCGAGGTATGCAGCAAAGCATTTGTGAAGCCACAACACACACAACCTTGAGGCGGATGGGCTACAACAGCAGAAGACCCCACCGGGTACCACTCATCTCCACTACAAATAGGAAAAAGAGGCTACAATTTGCAAGAGCTCACCAAAATTGGACAGTTGAAGACTGGAAAAATGTTGCCTGGTCTGACGAGTCTCGATTTCTGTTGAGACATTCAGATGGTAGAGTCAGAATTTGGCGTAAACAGAATGAGAACATGGACCATGCGAATAATTTCAAATTGGTTTCTTGAACATGTCAATGAGTTGACTGAACCAAAATGGCCCCCAAAATCACCCGATCTCAATCCAATAGAGCATCTTTGGGATGTGGTGGATGGGAGCTTTGTGCCCTGGATGTAAGTATTCAGATTCAGTCCAGCAGAAAGACCTCCGTGGTTAAGTTCTTTATAGCAAGCAGAGACGGCAATATTTTTAAAAAAATATTTTTAAAAAAGTTTTATTGTATTTGGTTTGTTAAAGTATCCAAGATATAGTTCAATAAAAGCAGTTTATTGAAGCACCAGCAGGTGTCAGGCTTGGATCATCAAACAATGGAGAGGCTGCTCATCTTCCAGTGTCTGCCTCCAATCAGAAATACCTTACTTTTTATAATCATTTTACATGTCACACCTCTTCATTACATACACAATTTTATATGCACAATCTGTCCAATCCCAGATCTTGACCTATGTTTAACTCTTTCAGTCCTTTCACAATTGTCTTATAAGAAGCTTTGTCCTCCTTTCTCCTTCGAGCTCGGCCTCTCAGCATTCTCCTCTGTTTGCTCTGGGACAAAGCACTCAGGTAATACTTGCTTTCTCTTTACTATATGCATGCTTAATATTCGTTTTTAATATTGAAAAAAACATTTTTTTCCAAATATGGCTCTCTGTGTCTTCTTTTACAGTTTTAATAAAACATTTATTTTTACAACATGTCTCTGTGTATTCTTTATAAACCCAATAAACTTTTTTTATTACAACATGTTTCTGTGTATTCTTTATGTCTTATACACAGTTTTACATATAAAACTGTATCACATAAAATACACAACACCATATAGCCTCAAATGTAAAAAGCCCTGTAACCCCCTTTTCCCAGACAAGTTGCAAAGTTTGTTCAATGTACATATTTATGGGTGAACCTGCAAACCACAGAGTACAGAAGCTGAAAAGGTCGTATTTAACTTAAATTCCGAAGAAGTCCAAGATGTGCCGGCTAATGTTGGTTTTTATTCACCAACAAATAACACATAAGAAAAGCACGTAATAAGATAGAAAAGGCAGCTATTAAACAACAGTGAAGGTTTGTATCAAATGTATAATTTTTATATAAAATAAATACAACAATGTCCAGAGTTGTCCAGCTGGAAATCCGATGAAATCTGAGCAATGGCTGTAATTTATACCCCTGGCTGTGCCAGAAACACCTATTCCCACAAAGTCACACAGTCAATCAGAATTAAGGTTTCTACCCCGATTTAGCTTATGGCCTGGACTTTGAGCTATTCTGAAATGTTATCTAGTGGGAGTTATCCCATTTCATTCTGATGCATTAGTTTCATTCTGATGGATTGCTTTTGCGTATGTGCACACAAACTATCATGCATCATGTAGCATAAAGCAAGTGCTTCATTGTCTCAGAAACACATTCAGCAAACTGCAATGCCCACTGCCTACTACCGTATTCCAACAATAACACATCAGAAAATGCTGTAATGCAAGAATTTGTTGAATGAATTAATCTATGCCTCTACGTTCTTGTTTTTTTGAGAACTTTTGAAAAGTCCAGTACTTTGTCGCCAGCATGTGAAGTTACAATGGTGGGGCATGTTCTGATATTTCAACAATAACTCATCAGAAAATGTTGTAATGCTGGATTTCGATTAATAATGGTTTTCTATACCTCTACAGTCCCCCTTTTTTTGAGAACTTTTGGAAAAATAAAGAAATGACACCTCCAGTATGCTTTGTCACTTGTCAGCACATAAAGGTGGGGCATGTTCTGGGTATCATATTTCAACAATAACACATCAGAAAATGTTGTATTGCAGAATTTCGTTTAATAATGAATTTATCTATACCTCTACGTTCCCCTTTTTTGAGAACTTTTGAAAAAAAAAAGAAATGACACCTCAAGTATGCTTTGTTGCACGTAAAGTTGCAAAGATGGGGCATACCATATTTCAACAATAACACATCAGAAAATGTTGTAATGCAGGATTTTGATTGATAATGAATTTATCTATACCTGTACATTCCTGTTTCTTTCATTATGTTTGCAACTGAGAATTAATGTTATGTCATTTCTGTTCTTTATTAGAAGTTATCCATTACTCAAATCATATATACACACACACACACACACACGTATGTGTATATGTTAGACTGGAGTAATGGATAACTTCTAATAAAGACCAGAAATTACATAACATTAAATTTCAGCTGTAAACATAAAGTCACTTTTCTCCATACTTTTAAAAGACATTTAGTAAGAAATTGAACTTAAATACAGAATAAGCAGTCTTGTTAAATTTACCAGATGGTGTAGCCAACCCTGCACCATTTACAGAGGCAGAAAAGATCATTTTTACAGGAGTACTACATATTTTCAAAACACTGCCCGAGCAGTCTCATAATTCCCACACAACTGTTCCTTTAAGAAATACGGCCAATAATAGAAGGGTTAGCAACCATCCAACAGCTGGACATAGCCTCATAAAGTGAGTTTCTAAAAGTGGACTGGAACGCATGCAGCCAAGCTCCGACCGAGTCCTTAGTTCCTATATCACATCATTAGTTTCCAGGATTCCTCTGGTGTTTACTGTTTACTCGATCATGGTAAGACTTTTAGACTAGTCTCTCTTCTTGCCGACGTTGTTTGGTGAACTCTAATCTAAGCAGTTTGACAGAAATGCTTTCACGTTTGTGTTTTGCAGTGTGTTGTTATTTGACCATTCTTAGACAGGCTTAGGTTCTCTCCTTCAGCCGACGATAACGGCGGAAGAATTGGCTTGTTTTTTTTAGTTATTCGACAGAAATGTATTTATCCTTTGTATTTTGCCGTGCGTGTGTTTTATGACCATTATAACATTTTTAAAAATATTATATAGGTCTATGATTTGTTTGTTACACAGTCTTGGTTCCAGTCTTGGTTCTTATGATTTGTTTGTTACACAGTCTTGGTTCTTATATCTTCGCGCTTTAGCCCGCTGACGCAGCGCGAAAGTAGCCTAGCTACAGTACATGTTTTGTATCTGATTGCTTCAGTTTGACAGGAATGACTTTATTTATTTGTGTTTAGCTTTTTTGTATTAGCTCTAATCTTATATTTGAAAGAAATGCATTTATCAGTTGTATTTTTCTTGCATTTATTTGTTGCAAATGCAATCTTGCTTCTTGTCCACGATAAAAAAAAAACAATCGACGAATGTCATAGCGCCAGATATGTCTCGTTATATGTGGTCAGGGGTCAGGTCGTATGGTATAACACGTAATCTTAAAATATAATTTAGCGTCATAATGTATGCATGTATTTTACATAGATGCAAGTGCATAAATTGATCTGCAAGTGCAATACTTGAATACAATGTTAGTTTGCCTCTGCAAAATGCTTAGCCTACAATGTAAATGAAAACTGTTATTTATGTGGGAGATTCAAACAGCAAGACTAAAACGTCAATAAATGGTAAAGTACATTGCATCTCAATGTGGTGAAAAGTTCTTCTAATAAAATATTAAATAAAAATTATTTAATTGGAAATGTTTCAATATTCATAATGAAGTTGAATGAGTATACTCATACTCTATAGAGAGGCTTAATTGCATCTGCAGATTTTGGCAAGAAGTTTATTACAAAATAAATGGGATCATATTGAGTCTTCTCTTGAGAACCACTTTTTTCATACTGGTGGGATTTGAGGGATGCAAACTATTATGAAACCTGAAAACATTCACTGATGCTCAAGAAGGAAATTATACATCTGGCACTGGGTTTGTTTAGAACATCTCCAACACAAAGTTTGTAGAAGCAAATGTTATCTCTAGAAAACAGACGCCTCAAATTAGCCTTACAACACACAGTAGGCCTAAAGGCTTTCACACTATACATCGTCTCGTCTGCGATAATATCGTAATTGTTGTTTTAACGATGTGCGATTTGATATTATCGAGTATAGCCTATCCCTCTCACACACACAGAGAGAGAGAGTGCATATGATGTAGCCTAGTCTTGTAGATTTGACTAGTAGCAAACGGGTGCGCATTTAAAGTGCACACTTTCACTGCGTAATTTAGTAATAAACATCACAACAGTGCAGTTTTCTATGTGACCGCATCCTGGTACTACGCTTTTCCGTGATCAAGGCATAGCTAGCTAGCAAACTGTTGGTTGTAGTAACTAATAATACTAACTTGCGATTGAGTGGCGGCCGGCAAACTGATGTTGTTAACTCCATTTCTATTGTTAGGGGAGGGGCCAGCCTCAGTGGCTGAGCTCAGGGGTCCAGTGTGTCATCAAGCCTAGTTTTAGCCCCGCCCAAAAAATCCAGAACACAGCAATGATGAAAAACTGTTAAAGGGTTAGTTCACCCCAAAATGAAAATTCTGTCAGTATTTACTCACCCTCATGTTGTTCCAACCCCGTAAGACCTTCGTTCATCTTCGGAACACAAATGAAGATATTTAAGATATTAAGATCGCTCCTGCATACAGTCCATAGGCTTCTTGAGGGACTGGCTCTTGCTGTCCCCGAAAAGTCATTAAAGACATCGTTAAAATAGTCCAAGTGACTACAGGGGCTCAAGCTTAAGTTTATCAAACGACGAGAACACTTTTGTGCGCAAAAAAACAACAAAAATAACGACTTTATTTCAACTATTCACTTCCTTCTCCATGAGCCTGTAAGTCAGTTAACGTAGTGTGATTGCGTAGAGCTACGTCACACGTAGGCTCACTATTGGCCGACGCTGGTCATGTGTGTGTGATGCGTGTGACGTACAATAACAGAAGCTTACGCTATTAAACTAGTAACCTGACTCGCGCAGAGGGAGAACTAAACGAATAGTTGAAATAAAGTCGTTATTTTTGTTGTTTTTTTGCGCACAAAAGTGTTCTCGTCGTTTGATAAACTTAAGATTGAGCCCCTGTAGTCATTTGGACTATTTTAACGATGTCTTTAATGACTTTTCGAGGACAGCAAGAGTCATTCCCTCAAGAAGCCTATGGACTAGTATGCAGGAGCGATCTTAATATCTTAAATATCTTAATTTGTGTTCCGAAGATGAACGAAGGTCTTACGGGGTTGGAACAACATGAGGGTGAGTAAATACTGACAGAATTTTCATTTTTGGGTGAACTAACCCTTTAAAACGGTATAACTTCACAATTCAGTACTTCACAGTCCACAGTATTTGTAATGCGTTTTAGCAATACATTTCTAACATTTATTATGTGTTTAGAATGTAGAATTGACTTTACCGGGATTTTAAGATAGTCAAATGTTTCTTTCCTTGAATGGATCAGCCGTTTGAATTAATCGTTTGAATCTCAATGTTTTGCTCATTAAAAGTGACTTGCTGCCCCCCTACTGGCGGTTTCATTTTCACATTTTAAGTATCTTTTCTTGTTTTAAATCATTTTAAAGATCAATATTGCAAAGATTACTTTTGTTGATACTGATAATTTGATTGGTAACAGCCTATCTTATTTTTATAATTTAATTAAATTTGAGAAATTGACAGTTGAATTAGGTTAAAAAAATGGCTTTTAAAGGTAAAAATGCCCTTTATTAAGTAATAATCAATTGAAACATATTGGAAAATATAATTTCTGTCACTGCTGTGAACTGATCACCACACATAGTATGAAGAATATCAACATCTGATCAATAATATCAACAGTCTCTGTCCACGGCAGTCCTAAACCTACCAAAGTACCAACACAAAAAACACACGCAGCAAAATATCGCCTATAATCGTTAGAGAAAATCCCAGAACATATTGAGATATAATGTTGTCAATATCGCACACCCCTAGTTCACACAAAGAACGATAATAAAGATATTAGCATTCACCCCAATAAAATCTGTCTGCAAGATTTCAGGTTACGCCCACTTCAAATTTATCACTGTTTTATTTTTTTTATTTTTTTCTTAAAGCAGTTGCACAGACCGCTCGGTGTATGATGTCAAAGCACCGCAAGAGCGATTAGAGAACAGACAGTTCTGTATGCTTTTGAATTGCTCTCGCGTGAGTTTAACATAAACTGAACATAATAGAGTTGATTAAACGGACGCTGTTCAAAAACCGAAATGCTTGTTTTGGTAGACAGTAAAGCAAGCTGCAATCTGCATTAGTGCCAGGGTAGCCTATTGATGATTTATTGCAAGAAACCATATTGCAATGTATTGTTTTATGAATTATCCGTCCCATCTCAACTAAAGTGTGGAGCAATCACTTATATATCCCTTTGGGATTGGGCTGTATTTATTTATTTAATAAATCATTTTAAACATCTTTTATGTCTTAATGTATGGCTGATTTGCTGTTGATTAAAATGAGCTAATTTTGACTGATATCAACAGCAATGAACAAATCTTTTGATACTTTTGAGGAAAATGAATAAGCACTCCCATAACAAAATCTTTGAATTGAAAGCAAAAACAATGAGGGTTAAAGGGCAGTTGAGGAATCATCACTTAAAAGCACCACAGCTGCATGAAAAACAATGAGGAAAAAATCATAAACTGGTATAGGAAACTATAAATTAGGCAACATGTTTACTACAAGACAAAATAAGATGATTTACCTTGATCATCCAATTAAAAAAAGGCTTGAAATGCACCTTTTTAAATATTTGTATGATTTTAAGATTCATCTAAGGATTCATAGACAGTCTGCTGGTATTTATGCTGCAACCCAGAAAGCCTTTACTAGCTTTGGTCCATTAAAACCTCTATTCATCAGCATGCATTGACATGGCATGTAGCAAAAAAAAAAAAAAGGTGCGACCAACTGAGAAAGTTGGTATGATTCCTTCTTGTTAAGATGAACACAGCACGTGTTATGCAACATTATGAGAATTATGAATCAGGATGTTGTTTGTATGATGATCATCAAGTGGCATAAGATCCTTCATGAGACTCATGTATTATTGTCTGATGAGTGAAAGTGTGAATCAATGATGATCTTCTGATGTTTGATTACATGTTACATTACAAATCAAGACAGATTTCTCTATTCACAATCTTTATGAACATTGTCACAGCACTTTCCTGATATATAGTGTTGTTGAGCTCATAATGAACTCTTCATTTCTTCTCCAGGTTTCTTCAGTGTCTGTGATGGAGGGAGATTCAGTCACTCTAAAAACTAATGTTCTAACAAACCAACAATACAAAATTAATTGGTATTATAAAGGCTATCACATCGCTCAAATCAATAGATACCAGAGTAAGATCTGTACAGATGTTCAGTGTAAAGAGAGATTCGGAGACAGACTGAGTCTGGGTTCTCAGTCTGGATCTCTGATCATCACAAACACCAGAAACACAGACTCTGGAGAATATACACTGGAGATCATCAGCATCGACGGCAGCATCAGTGAAAAGAGCTTCGATGTTTCAGTCATTGGTGAGTCATTATGTTAAAAGCAAGTGTTGTGCATTTAAATCACACCATTAATGTGTTTAGTGAACTATTTTGCTTTGACATTCAGAGGTGTTTTTTTTTCTCTTTACCTTTAAAATCTCATCATTGTTTATAAAAGTTTTATTTTCGTGTTCAACATTTTCATAAAGAGAAATGAATTGAGCGTGTTAGTCCAAATTTTCTGAAGATAGTAAATCACTTTATATGATGATCAAATTTAACTTTAACTTTTATTCATATAAATTAGAGATAGACATTTTCATAAATGTTGCATTATAATATTTGGGCTCATAAAGAAGGAATATCCTAATATTTGTTTATTTAATTGAAGTTTAATGAGAACAAGCTTTGCAAATATACACGTACACAACATTACATTATATCTTGAGATCTTCTTTTAGTCGGAAAAAATAAAAAATGTGTGTAAACAATATACAGAATAAAAGCATCAAGCCGAACTACCTTTGCAACTTTTCACAGTGATAATATGGTAACGCTTCATTTTGCAGTAATTGTTTGTATTTACTGTGTACTTGCCTAGAAAGTACTGCTAATATAAGGTAAGTTCATGCGTTAGGGGTAGGTTCAGGGTTAGTACCTAGTTATTACCCAGTGATTGTAATTAGTATAATAAGTGCATAGTGTACACGGGTAACAGGACTCTAAAAGGAAGCTGATAATTCTTTATATATTCTTTAATACTTTATACCTCTTACATTTCTCTTACATATTGTAAATGTCATTTATAACATCTGACCTGCATTGCTTCAAAAAGCATTCAAATACATCAAGAGGAACATCCATCCGTAAACACAGCCCAATTTTTAAAGCAGAATCATTAGTTTTAATATTCTGGCATTTGATTATGCAAATACACTGTTAGACATTACCAGGTTTTTTTTACAGTACTGTAAAAATGCACTAAAACTCGAGTTAACTTGTCACGATTCCTGTCTTGTGTTTTCCTTGTCTTGTGTGGACTTTAGTTATTTCCTGTTCTGTGCCATGTTTTGTAGTCCTTTGTAGTTTTTCTTGTTGATGTGTTTCTGATTAACCACGCCCCCTTGTTCCCTCGTTTAGCTTGTTTGTCTGTGTATTTAACCCCTGTGTTTCAGTTGTTGGGTGTCGGTCGATGTTTGATGTTACGCTGTTTCTGAGTTCCCTGTTCTGAGTTATCTGTTCTGAGTTTACCCCTATTTTATTTGTTTGTTGGATTATTAAAGTGCTAGCGATTGGATTCGATCTCTGCTTCGTTCTCGCCAGATCATTACATAACAAAAAAATACAACTTATTAGTTTAAGTGCATTTTTACAGTAAAATACTGGCAACACTGTTGCCAGGTATTTACTGTAAAAATGCACTAAAATTCGAGTTAACTAACTTCACTTGCAGAAACCAACTTAAAAGAATCAACTAAATTTATAATGAATTAATAATGTGAGCAAAGTATTATTATTAACTTATTTAATTAGAAACTACAAAAAAATAACTTTTTAACAACACACAGCATATCGTCAATGTTTGTAGAAGCACAGGCTTTACTTTTCAGCACAATGGTGACCCAAAAAACAAGATTTTATTATATTAAAATCTTATTATTATAACCTGTTTTATAACTTACAGTTTATTGCTGTTAAAATACATTTTGTGGAGTGTCTTTTTATCTTACACTGTTAACCCTTTCAACCCCACAGGAAAATCCACACTACAAAGAGTAAAAAGTAACATTGACAGTGTTGCAGTGAGATAATTAAGGGAATATGTAAGTGATTGTTGAGCATTAGTGATGAACACCTGCTGTTAACAAGCAGAATCACTGTAGGACAGAGGAACAACAAGAACACAAAAAATAGAGAAACACAAGAACTACAACTGACTTCAGCCATTACACATTATTACACTTATTATTAACCAGTATAGCTTTATTTCTGTCATACATCTATAGAAGATGTAGCCTGACTTCGCCATACTCATATTCAAGAGAGAATATGAGTCTGAAACTCCTCCATTGGGCTTTGATTATGAGGCGTGTCGTAACCGAACCGGGGAAAAAAAAACCTCTGCACTCAATTGGATAGTCGGTAGACCTACAACCAATCAGAGCAACGCATAAGTCAACTCCTTTGCATAGCGCAGTTTTCAAATACAGAACGTAGCCTACTTTATTTATTTTAGAAGTTAAAAAACGAGTGTTACTTCTTTTACTTGGTCCTCCATGAGTGCGACCAAAGGAGAAACCACAACGACCACAGGCTTTTCATTACGTCCCATCTTCTTAGCGACCGTCAGAGCCAGCTGATAAGTTACACTTTTCCCGAATTATGTAGGAAGGACGCCAAAAGTATCTTTCCGATCGACAAATGCCTTGATTGCAGTTTTCTGTTTGTCTATTAAAATGAATGCACTGTCGATTTATTTTACAAAAGACGCGACAGCGGAATCTATACATCTCAATTCTCCAGCTGCCATCATCTTTGACAAGCGCACTTTGATAACGTGATGATTACGTCCCTGCAGATCATCTGTCCATTATCGTATAAAGCCCGCCCTGGCAATTTGATTGGCCCGATCATTTTTTTGCCTGATCATAATTACTTCTCAATGGTTCGAGTCCAGACCGAACTTCCAGACCAAAAAATGTTGTGGGCGGAGTTCGGGCTGGCATCCAGGCTATAGAAGATGTTGTTGAGATGTTTAATTTAAAATGTTTGGTTTGAAGTTACCATTATAAAGTCAGTGTTTGCTTTAGTTGGTATGCTGATGCTGTAACATTAGTTTTTCTTCTGACGCTTGAGCTGTGTTTTTACAAGTCCCACTTGTGCAAACACACAGTTTATTAATGATTTGATTTGTCAAAATATGAAAATCATCATATTGTCTGTTCATTTACTAAAGAATTCATTCTCACTCATTCAGAGTTTAATCCAGGGCCGTGCAGAGACCTCTGTAGGGGCAGGTGCTCAAAGTATAAAATGGGGCACATGGAAACAAGGCTTTATAGGGCTGTGCTCAAAATATCAATACAGTAATATTTCAATACAGATGATTCTGCATCGATACAGCAGCAAATGCATTGATGGAGTTTTGAAAAAGAACCAGAACAGAAAAGACAAATTTAAAGTTTAAAATTAAAAAAAATAATAATTGATGTGCTCTATATATAACTCTGGGATTAGAAACTGAAGCATCTTAAGTTGTCCCAACCTGATGGCTTTTTCTTCTCTGTTATACAGAATAATAAAGAACAGCTGTTATAGTGAACTGTATAGGACAAAATCAACCTGGCCCATGTTTCGTGCAGTCCAGTATAGTTTTATTTAATGGCATATCAGCATCTGTGGCTATTTTCATGGCAAAAACTGATTTACAAAAATACAAGAGTTACATTTTATACAATGAAAATAAAAACAAAGCAAACAGAAACAGCAATTAATACTTTACAAGATTTTTAACATTAATGTGATGCCTGTTCTGGTAAATTCTTACTCAAGTCCTTAAGTGAGTTTGCTGCCTTTGCTGTTGATGTTACTGCTGCTGCTGCTGATACTGCTGGAGTTGATCTGAGACTGTAGACATTAAAATAAACAGAAATATAGGGTATTAGCTGAATAAACTATTTTTATGTGACCATGACAAGATGTAAAGATTGCTGACAGTGTTTGGAACTGGCTCACTAGTTCACTGACCTACTAAAGCTACAGATTCTGCCCAGGCTGCTATAGTATAATAATACAATAATAGTATATAATAGTAACGTTAATAGGGCAAATGTTCACAGAGGCTTCTGCACACAAAACATAAGATACTGGTAAGCCTATGTGACAACTTACCAGAGTTGTGATAATCATTTTTATGTGAAAATATTTTTTTTAATAAATACTGTAATAATAATAATAATAGTTTAAAGTACAAATAATAGTTTTTAGTCAAATAACACCCCTCCACGCCCGTGAAACTTTTCTCCCTCAAACAGCAAGCTAACGTTACTTCTACAGCCTACACACATAGCAATACAAACAACATCTCTCTGCATGCTCTCTTCACGTCGTTCTAGTAAAATAATAAGTAAACAAACATCAAAATCACTTCGCTGAGAATAGAACACCACTTACCAGCAGCCGCAAGAGTTGAAGATATCCTCTGGGAACGCGCGATTGCGCGTAGCCGCGCGAAATTATAAAATGCGCGTGCAGCGTGAGGAATCAGGTGAAAGGTCATCATGTGGGTCATTTTATTTACGGCTAAATTATTATTCATTCATTTTACTACTAGTTAGATGGGGCAGGCATCCACAAAAGTGCCTTTAAATACAAAAAAAGGAGAGGAAATTTTGTCTTGACAAAAGGGCACTTTGGGCACCAAGGGGCAAAAGGGCAGGTGCTCGAGCACCCAATGCCCCAGACCCCCCCCCCCCCCCCCCCCCTCTGCACGTGCCTGGTTTAATCCTCAACCAAAAGTGTTACATTACCACCACCGTGAAACCACAGCAATAAATTACGACTCATTTTTTAACACATCATACATAAACCAAAAAAAAACAACAATGCTACAGTCTTGTAGAAACACAAAGATATCAAAATTTAGCACATTAATCTCAACAATGGTGGCAATAATTTTGCTTTTATTCGTGCAGCAGTGCATGCTGGGAGTTTTATACAATCCTGGAAACCAACATGCACTGCTGTATAAAACTTTTGAATACTACCATTGATTCATTGGATTACCATATAATTATATGGGATTATATGGGATTACCATATATGGGATTACCATATAATCCCAAACACACCAGATGAATTTCCTCTTGACTTTTCTTGCTATAACAATTGTATTTTAAAACTCACTGTTACAGCAGTCAGAGAGAGATGAATGCAACACGTCAAGGGTCAAGAGACCTACTAAAGCAAATACTGATCTCCATTATGGTGACAACAAACTTTATTATTAATTAAATCTCTGTTAATTCTCAACAAGACTGAGAAATTAATGAAATCAGAGGAAATGAGGAAATAGACTCGTCAGAATTCACACAGCAACTCTTATGGGTATAAAACAAGCGTGCCGCACAAGCCCTCAAAAGTGAATCCAAAACGTCTCGATCGCCCCCCTGTGGCCGGTCCTAGTATAGCTCATAACCCCCGCCTCCCCATGTTATTCAATGGGATGCGAGACCAACTAAACAATTAAATTACACTTCACATATCCTTTTTCCAAAGATAGTTTCTGTCATTCACTGTAGTTTCTGTCACGTTGATGTAATTTCAAGTGTTCGTTTTTAAAATAAGTTTGTTTTTAGTTAGTTATGTGATGATAAAATAACGGTGCTCTGACATCATGATTGACAGCTGTGATTGACAGGTTCTCTGTGCGAGGTAGTCACTGAAAGCACCAGCGGACTTTTTTTAATAATGTTGATTATGTGGTTGGTAGTTGTATTTACCTTATTTTAACGAGGTTTTGCGATTAGAAGACATCATTGGAGAAGAACGAAGCAGACAGAGGACACTTAATGAAAGTGCGGGGCGTGTGCTTGCGTTTGATTCAGCGAGAATGAGGTGAATACTTCCTGCTCACGACTGCGCATGACTGGTCCCGAAACACGCAAGTGCGCAGACTCAAGTCCCAAGATGTCAGCGTCATATCGAGACACTGGCGGCTTTGGTTCTCTCTGATGGAAAAGAGCGAAGGGGCGTCGTCCATCTTTTTTTACAGTCTATGGTATAAAACCAATAATTCATTTCTATATTAATAACAAATAGCAAACGGAATGGGATTTATATGCAATGAACAAACTTCCTTAAATCAGCACCAATGTTGGAAGAATGATTGCTATCAAATCTCAAACCGATGGGATCAGATTGTTTATACCCGTTGCAGAATTGGCCATGCGGGTGGACACACACGTTGTAATACTAGGAGAAGATCCACCAAAATATTATTTCTGTCAAAAGTCTTTATCATTGAATTATTAAATAAATAAATAAAAATATATATATATATATATATATATATATATATATGTGTGTGTGTGTGTGTGTGTGTGTGTGCGTGCGTGCGTGTGTGTGTGATTAATAATAGTAGCTCGAAAAGCAGTATTAGTATAGTTGGACATGTGCAACTGTAATAGATTGATTTTAACCCTGTGAGAAACTTTTTTTTATTCAGTTAAATCCTTCCAGTAAATGTTTTCATTGTGGACAATCTCCATGATTGAATTCTTTTGTTAATAATAAAGAAAATGTAACGGTCACCAGGTGGAGTGCCCTTGAGAGTCACCAGAGGGCACTCCACACCAGATGTTCATGTTTCCCTCACAACTACGTTTCCCAGAACTCACTGCCCGGACTCATCATCACTGATCACATCCACCTGTACCTCATTCACTGATTGCATTCACCTGTCTCATCATCCTGTTAGTCTGGCTATATATACCTTGTTCATTCAGTCACTCACCGCGAAGTCTTGTTTAAGTGTTTCACTGTTGTGTGCATGCCTGAGCATTCCTGGTTTTCCTTGCCTATCTGTGTCTTGACTCTTGCCTGGGTGGATCTCTGTGATTTTCTGCAGCCTGCCTAGTGACCCTCTGCCTGTTTCTGGATTTCGTTTGCCTGCAGCCCGCCCTTGATCTTCAGCCTGGTTATCGACACGCCTTTGTTTAACCCTGAAACTGTTGATGCTGATTCTTTATCTTTGACAAAGTCTTAGATTTGAATAAATTGTTGCATTTGGATCTGCCTCTGTCATCTCCTTCATAACAGAATCCTTCAACAAATGAAGATCAAGGGCGGGCTGCAGGCAAACGAAATCCAGAAACAGGCAGAGGGTCACTAGGCAGGCTGCAGAAAATCACAGAGATCCACCCAGGCAAGAGTCAAGACACAGATAGGCAAGGAAAACCAGGAATGCTCAGGCATGCACACAACAGTGAAACACTTAAACAAGACTTCGCGGTGAGTGACTGAATGAACAAGGTATATATAGCCAGACTAACAGGATGATGAGACAGGTGAATGCAATCAGTGAATGAGGTACAGGTGGATGTGATCAGTGATGATGAGTCCGGGCAGTGAGTTCTGGGAAACGTAGTTGTGAGGGAAACATGAACATCTGGTGTGGAGTGCCCTCTGGTGACTCTCAAGGGCACTCCACCTGGTGACCGTCACAGAAAAATGCTCAATATTAGTCAGTTTTCATGTGAATCCGCTGATTTCTCTGCTGTTGCTGAAACACACACCATTTATCGAATGAATCAACATCATACAACTTTATACTGAAAGCATAAAGGTGTAAATATTAGTCAACAGTAATGATTATATATAGTTGATTATCAGTCGATCTCTAGTAATAATCTGTGTGTGTGTGTGTGTCTTCATCTCCTCCAGATTCAGGATTACCAGTTGTTCCAGTTCTAGTTTTATCTCCAGTTCTTGTACCAGTAATATGTGCTGCTGCTGCTGGTGGTCTGTTGGTGGCTGGTGGGATTGTCTGTTACAAGAAATTTAAACAAACAAGCAAGTATTACACACAGCTGATTGTAGAAAATAGAAATAAGATATTTAATGTGCAAAACAATCTTTAAAAACATTTAAAACAAAAGTATTCGTATTCTAATTGACCAAAGACTGTTGTTCAAACAGGAAACAGGAGACGTCGAGATGATCATCATCAGGTGAGATACTGTGAGCTCTGAATCTCTGTCTGCAAAACACTGACTTTACTACAGATTGGCATTTGTTAGTAGTGATACTAACAAATGTAGTAGTAGTGATTTGTTAGTAGTAGGGAATCAGTAATGATAGTTTTAACATCTCCATAAACAGAACATAATTGACCACTCACTATTAAACATGTTTAACTCACGACTGCATGATTTAAAGGCACACATTTTAATCAGGCAAAACTGCTTCTCTTTTGAACTTCACTGCACAAATGTGTGTGTGTGTGTGTCACTCAAACCAGACTTCACCATAGGCTGCAGGATACTGTGTACATACACTTGTTATCAGTGACATTTTTGTTGATTTTGTTGTCAATATTTTGATGTTTGACAGCTAAAAATATGCCAAATTTAAAGAAACTGCACAAGACTCATATCTGTAACATGTTTTTGGGCTTCCACCTTGAAGTTGAGCATGCAAGATAATAATAAAAAAAATATATATTTCTGTCAAATGAAACCAAAGAAAAAAGAAATAAACCAGACGAACTATGTCACAGTTTATATGAATATTTGAATTTATAAAATATTTTCTTAAATAAATTCCTATCATCCAGCCCCCTCTGCCCTTCCTCTTTCATCCTCATCCTTTTTACCAAAATCATGTTTTAGGTGGACGGATTAATACAGTACAAAGAACATCACAATAATTCAGGATGTTGAAAAATAACAAAGTATTTTCTGTTAACCAAATGCTTTTTAATCTTGGCTTTTGCTTCAATGAAAAGTGCATCGTTTTATTTTGTGTGTTGTGACGTGGATGTTCAAGTAGGCCAGATATTCACAGATTATTTAATATATCATGATGAATCACAAGTATTTACACATATTTGTCTCTCTCACACACACACACACACACTCTCCCCCTGTAAAGTGAGGAAACAGTAACACACTAAACTGGCGAGTGATTTGACAGCGTTATCCGCCACAGTTGATTTTTTTATCACATTTGTTAATTTCAATCCCTGGTTGCAACACATGACAGAACTAAAGGAAACACTTAAACAATTACAGGATAATATTTAATGAAGAGTTTAAGGTTGAAGTTTTTTTTCTTGCAACCCATGTTTCACTAAGGGCTTCACTTATTCTTCGTCTCAGGGGAAAATGAGAGAGTGTTGCACAACCTTTCAATAGTATGACTGGATTTCTAACAATGGAAATCTTAATCCAAATTGGTGGAGTGTCCCTTTAAGGACTTTGTTGCAACCAGACCGTTTGAGTTTCATTTATAAATCATCACACAGAATCACTGATAATAACAGGCTTATTTAAGACAGTGCTTCTCTTGTGTTGTTTTAATTCAGAAATAAAGAATAGGTGTCTTTACATTCACAAACATCAGAGAGAAAACACATATCTGTGTTTAACTGAATCATCAATCCTGAACATGTGTTTTTCCTTCTGTGAATCTGCTTCTTTCTTTCAGGAGAATGATGTCATAGAAGCACTGCCACTTAATCAGAGGGCTGAGACTGCATAGACGGATGATAATAGATGGAAACCTCAGTGAGACTGAGACTACTGGGATTTAATAGAAACATTAGTAATTATTATATAAATAGTTTCCCTGAAAAGGAATTTAAAAAGAAAAGTTTCAGAATATACTTGTTTCAGAATATTCAAAGAAAATGTATTTGATAAAAAATTGAATGTTTATGTTCACATAACTAAGAAAAAAATGTTTGTTAGTTTCTTTCTTAAAAAAAAAATTAAAACATTTGAAAATTTGTACATTTGTAACATTCAGAAAAACATAACAATGATAAAGTTAAGAAAACGTTCTCAGAACATTGTTGTCAGTGGTGAAAGAGAGGAACGTTCATGTTGAGTTTTGGATGCCAATGTTTTACACCTCTAATAACCAGCTAACCTCTCAATCAACCATCTGTCAACTCTAAACTGACAGTTTTACTCAGAGATACACCAGTACACTAGTGTTTGGTGAACAATATGTGTGGTTAAAGATCCAAGGTTCATTATATATAACAATTTAGTTACATAAACATATTTGCCATTTTGTAGCAACCAAATATGTAACTAAATTGTTATATATTTCATAACTGTTACTGGCTACTGTGCTAATGGTGTGAATGGTTCCTAGTTTCATACAATAATAGGATTTATAAATGTTATCATGGCGCCTATTTTAAAATTTTGAATTCATAATAATTTCCAAACTGTGACACGACCTCAGATATTGTGTGCCTTAGGCTCTGAGCCAAAGATCTTTAGATTGTTTCTTTAATTTAGCATTACCAAAGGAAAACATTTATCGGATACGCATGGTTTTCGTTCAATGGAAAAAAAAAACGTTTATCGTATATGCATGGTTTTCATTCAATGGAAAATAACTTGTTTCTTTAATTTAGCATTACCAAAGGAAAACGTTTATAGGATATGCATGGTTTTCGTTCAATGGGAAAAAAAAAACGTTTATCGTATATGCATGGTTTTCGTTCAATGGAAAAAAAAAACGTTTATCGTATATGCATGGTTTTCGTTCAATGGAAAAAAAAAAACGTTTATCGTATATGCATGGTTTTCGTTCAGTGGAGAAAAAAAAAACGTTTATCGTATATGCATGGTTTTCGTTCAATGGAAAAAAAAAACGTTTATCGTATATGCATGGTTTTCGTTCAATGGAAAAAAAAAACGTTTATCGTATATGCATGGTTTTCGTTCAGTGGAGAAAAAAAAAACGTTTATCGGATATGCATGGTTTTCGTTCAATGGAAAAAAAAAACGTTTATCGTATGCATGGTTTTCATTCAATGGAAAATAACTTGTTTCTTTAATTTGGCATTACCAAAGGAAAACGTTTATCGCATATGCATGGTTTTCATGGAAAATAACTTGAAATATCTGTATATGTACAGTGAGGAAAATGAGTATTTGAACACCCTGCTATTTTGCAAATTCTCCCACTTAGAAATCATGGAGAGTCTGAAATTGTCATCGTAGGTGCATGGCCACTGACTGTGAGAGACATAATCTAAAAAATAAAATAAAAAATCCAGAAATCACAATGTATGATTTTTTTTAACTATTTATTTGTATGATACAGCTACAAATAAGTATTTAAACACCTGAGAAAAATCACTGTTAATATTTGGTACAGTAGCCTTTGTTTGCAATTACAGAGGTCAAACGTTTCCTGTAGTTTTTCACCAGGTTTGCTCACACTGCAGGAGGGAATTTGGCCCAGTCCTCCACATGATCTTCTCTAGATCAGTCAGGTTTCTGGGCTGTGGCTGAGAAACATGGAGTTTGAGCTCTCTCCGAAGATTCTCAATTGGGTTTAGGTCTGGAGAACCTTGATATGCTTCTTACAGACCCACTCATTGGTTATCCTGGCTGTGTGCTTCGGGTCATTGTCATGTTGGAACTTGGAAGACCCAGCCTCGACCCATCTTCAATGGAGGTTGTTCCCCAAAATCTCACAATACATGGTCCCCGGTCATCCTCTCTTAATACAGCGCAGTCGCCCTGTTCCATGTGCAGAAAAACACCCCTAAAGCATGATGCTTCACAGTAGGGATGGTGTTCTTGGGATGGTACTTATCATTCTTCTTCCTCCAAACACGCTTAGTGGAATTATGACCAAACAGTTCTATTTTGGTCTCATCTGACCACATGACTTTCTCCCATGACTCCTCTGGATCATCCAAATGGTCATTGGTTAACTTAAGGCGGGTCTTGACATGTCGTGAGCTTAGAATTATAAGGTTCTATCTCCACTTTTGGTCGAAATTGAGTTTTTGACATAATCTGATCCATTAGGTGTTTATTAATGCCTGTGTGGTGTTATTTTTGTAAAAAAAAAAAAGATTAATAGATAAAGCTATAATAGAAAATTATCCTACACAACAGTTTTGCCAGCTGGGATGTAAAAACTTTGATGCTCAATATCTCAGAACTACCCTAAACGGAGATAGAACCTTATAATTCTAAGCTCACGATGTGCTGGTTTAAGCAGGGGAACCTTCAGTGCCACGCATGATTTCAAACCATGACGTGGTCGTGTAAACAGTAACCTTGGAAACGGTGGTCCCAGCTCTTTTCAAGTCATTGACCAGCTCCTCCCCTGTAGTTCTGGGCTGATTTCACACTTTTCTTTGGAACATTAATCATATATATATATATGGTTATATATATGGTCGTTGGATGTGTATGACGTCATGGACATTTTAAAATAACTTCTTAAAGCAAATAAGTGACTCTAAAAAATGTAACACCCAGTAATGTGTTATTTCTTTTCATCTCCTTTCGAATGCAACATTCAAATTACTAGACAAAAAATTATATCCTGAGAAAAGTAGATTTTGAGGGGTATATCTCCCTAGACCTCCATTCATTCTGCGCTGTGAGCGCCCTCATATGGACCAACAGTGGAACTGCAATCAGTTCAAAAACCGGAAGTTTAATGTTTTTTTCCCCGGAAGTTTAATGTGAGTTCTCTGTCTCCCATGAGTTCTCCTCATGTAAATTAGGCACTCTGCCATTATTGTTCTATTTTAGGAAACACGGCGAAAATGAGGCATTTCTTTGTCTGGCTCTTATTGCTCTGTTTACTCGACCATGGTAAGACATTTAGCCTTATTATCTCTCTTCCGGTCTACGATGAAACCCAAAGTAACTTTTATATGAATACAATACTATACTCAGCGCTTTATACATAAAAACTGTTTTATTTCGCGGTCCGTATTTTTTCTCGAGCATGCCAAGACATTTAAAATCTCACTTACTGCCAGCGATAAAATAAATAAATAAATAAATAAATTTATTTATTTAAAAAAAAAAATGAAATAGGCCTATAGCCTTCGAAAACATGTGACATTTGCTCATAGCTGTCAACATTGAACATTGAAAATAAGGGAGTTTTCCCGGAATCCTTCCCCAAAATAAGGGATTTTGTTTTACACGATTCTTACCCACAAACTTTAAAAATAAAGCACTAATCCTTAAAAGTCTAAAGAGTTAATAACTAGCCTAGAAACTATAGTGTCATTTAAAGAAAAAAAATCTACATTTGGATTAGCGGTGTGTTGCTCTTGCCTTTACGGCAACAATTTCAACTGTTATCACATCTTCCAAAACCCACAAAATAGGGAAGTGGGCTGTCTGTTTATTTCAATTACATTTACACATTTTATGTAGTTTTAAAGAGCCTATATTTAGCCTGGTGGTGGACCGTCACTCAGAAGACACACTGTTGTTATAGCCTATCCCATCTTTATATCCTCCTGAGGCCCAGAACGTTTTTTTCCAAAAGTTTTTTCTTCTTCTTTGTGTAATCATTGTTAAGAGCATAAGAAACAAATGAAAAAAAAAAGAAAAGATATTTTATTCATATGTTATATGACATTAAATTATATATAGGCAAAACTAATCGCAATATAAATCGATTATTATAATTATTATTTGTTTAAATTACATTGATATCTGAATTTATGTAAAACCCTTGACTTTCAAACATGTAAAATGTAAAATGTAGGCTATTCGAGTACAAAATAAACATCGTTTCCTATTTTTTATTTATTTTATTTTTTTGCCTGGAAACGCTTTCAACACGCTTGCGTGTCGCGTGAAAAAATAGGCGTCAGTTCTATTTCTAGCATGCACGCGTTTTCTGGAGTGTGCAAGCTCTAAACTCTGTTAACATGGGAGCCGAAATAAAAACGGACACGCCACACAGCCAGTGTGTCTCCGGCCAGCGCGCGCGGCGCCGCATCTGAGAATAAACGACTTCAAGCCGAATCAGTCCGAGCTTGTACGTCTCACACAATCAGAGTAAAAATACGGGAAATTTTACGGGAAAATACTAAAACGGGAAGACAGCGGGAAAAGAGTAAAAATACGTGAGAAACCCGGAAAAAACGGGAGGGTTGACAGCTATGCATTTGCTGTTTGAAACAAGGCCCAGATAGTTTGGTGAAGCGTAACTAAATAAAAAGCTAAAAAAGAAAGAAATGTTTCGGAAAATATCAAAGTCCGTGTAAATGTTCAAGACATTTGTTATCTACACCTAAGCTTGTAACTATTAAATGTTGCCTAAATTCAGTGTTGTGCCTGAACGCGTTCAATGAACGATAGTTCATGAACTCGTTCATATTTTGGGCGAACGTGAACTTAACGTACTGTATTAGTGCCTGATGAACGTTACTGTGAACGCGTTCATTCTGGTGTCTGTGAACGCACGCTCTCTCAGTTTAGGGTAGAGTGGGGGAAAACGCCCCCCTTAAGGAAAATGTGACATTACTGTGAAACAAAACATAAATGTGACTAGAATTACCATCCAAGTTTTGAGTGACTATGGCAGGAAAATTGCTCAACCTTTATAGTTATTTATTTTTTTGACTGAAAATATTTTTGTACAAAGGGGGCGTTTTGCCCCAGCGGTGGGGTAAAACGCCCCCCCAACCCTGCTGAAAAATCCAGCTAAAACCAGCCTAGGCTGGTTGGCTGGTCTTAGCTGGTTTAAGCTGGAAGTAGCTGGTTTTAGTTGGTCACCCAGCCTGGCTTAGCTGGTCAAGCTGGTCTCCCAGCCTGACTTAGCTGGTTAAGCTGGTCTCCCAGCCTGGCTACCAACTTGACCAGCTAAGACCAGCCTGACCAGCTGAAAAAGTGTTCAAAACCCCTCTAAAACCAGCCTGATAAACCAACTAACCAGGCTGGGAGACCAGCCAACCAGCCTTGGCTGGTTTTAGCTGGATTTTTCAGCAGGGAAGGTGGGGTAAAATGCCCCGTTTCTTACCAACCAGTTTGCTTCATAGATCAACAGCAAAATGAACATAGTTTTTAATCTCTAAAAGTAAAAGGCAAGTAATGCAACAACATGTGTATATATACCTATTAATATTTATTTCAGGAATGTACAAAATAGCCAAATTTTGAATATTTTAATTTCTACACTAGGCCTATATGGGGTTGATAATTGATGTAGTATTTGTTCACCACTATCATCAAGAAAAACAGGAAAACCTAAATAAATATTAAACATAAATTAGTATATTTATAGTGAAATATATTCCAAAAATGCATTAAAAGTCACTATGTTTTATTATTGGGTCACCTAACCACCTCAAATCATTGCATCCACCAAGCTAGCTAGATAATGCTCACTTGGGGTAATTTTTTCATGTTTTGTTCAAATACCTTGATTTTACCGTCTAGTTATACTGCATTAAAGTGTAAAATAAAGACTTTGATGAACAGAAATATGTTACGATAAAGAGAAACTATGCCCCTTCAAACAATAAAAAATTGTTTATTTAAAAAAATATATAATTATATTCCCAATAAATAACATATGCTCTCAAACTACAGACTTCACCATTAATCTATCATATATCACTGTGATATCACTGTGAACAATATTCTATTAAACACTTGTTTACTAATATCTGAAAATTATAGCACTTTCCATGTAATCCTCTTCTCTTAAAATACGTCGCTGGGGTCAGCTTCTCCATGGAGATTTCTATATCCCCGTTGTCAACGTAGTGCATAGCAATAGTAAAAATGTATCTTGATTCATTCTAGTGGTTATTTTGGGAAAAACTGGTGGGGGCGTTTTCCCCCACTCTACCCTACAATAGGGTGCCAGATTTCTATAGAACCTTCCAGGCTTGTGTGGACTTTCCCAACACTGCCTAAATGGATCAAATGTGCTTTCATGTGTCGCGAGTCGTTTTTAGATGAGAGCTGCTTAATGCATAACAAAATGTAAATTAAAACATCGTTTGGGGACAAAATAAAACGCATAAGTCATCTTGTGACATCGTATCATACATCACATGCACATCATACATCATATCAGATGTCGGGATCACGAGAAAACAACTTTTGTTATCTCGAAATCGCGTAAAAAAATAAGTCGTCATCACCAGAAAACAACATGATCAAATAATCCAGGGATTCCTTATAACAGACACGTATGTTCAACACTGCATGGAGTGATGTGACCAGTAAAGTCCCTGCTAGTACTGCTGGAACCACAACTGAGGGACTTGGGTGTAAATTTTTAAAAAATTTTACTTTGTTTAGAGATGTTTTTTATTTAGTACTGTTCTTCATAAGCTATACTTGCATGTTTCCCAGAAGACAAAACAAGTACTGTTTTCTTGATTAGCTACCCATTTCAAAAGGGCTCTTTATGCATTGTTTCTTTCTTTAGGATCAATGAATGGTTCCAGTGTTTGTAATAGTTGCGTATGTGTCCTTCAGTCGACCGCAGTCATCCATGACACGGCAGGGGTATTTAGGCTAAACCTTTGAACTGGTTCTGTTATTTCCACTGGACTTTTATTAGACTATATGTAAATGTTTTTTGTTTGCTTGTTTTTTTTTTTGTTTTTTTTGTTTTTTTTGCTGTATAATGAACTTTTCATTTCTTTTTCAGATTTTCATTTTGTTTCAAATGGAGTGTCGGTGTCAGTGATGGAGGGAGATTCAGTCACCCTAAACATTGGGGTTGAAATAAAACAACAACAAGAAGATATAAAATGGTATTTTAATGACATTTGCATTGCTCAGAATAAGAGTAAGATCTGTTCGGATGATCAGTGTAAAGAGAGATTCAGAGACAGACTGAAGCTGGATCATCAGACTGGATCTCTGACCATCACACACACCACAAACACAGACTCTGGAGTTTATCAACTACTGATCAGCGGCAGCAGCTTTAAAAAGGTCTTCATTGTATCTGTTCATGGTGAGTCTGCAAATGACTGGTACGTCACGTCGATGTCAATACAGTGGATGAACAACGAGCTGTATTTAGAGCTTGATTAAATAAATTATTTGTTTATAATGAGGAGGACGTCATAAGCTATGAAACTTGCCGGTTTTAATGGTCCAAAGACCTCTTATATACAAAAGAACAAGGCAAATTTGGTTCCTCATGTCATGACCCCTTTAAATTTATTATTTTCTGAAGAACACCTTCTGTAGAACTTCTCATTTCAATATATTCAAATTTATAAATTTATTTTAATTTAGCACATTTCAGTTCAGCCTTATTTTACTTGGAGTGTTATGTTTGTTTTTAATCCCAGTATCCATTTAATAAAAATATCGCGGTTAGCGTCTGGACGTACGGACAACCTTAAGACGCAAAATGCGTCATTTCCGATTCTTCTTCCTGTATCCAAAGACAACAACAACAACAACAGCAGCAGCAGTATGCGGATAATGGATAGTTCGGGGCAGATAGCGATCGCCTTTGTTTGCGCTTAGATGCTGGTAACGTTACTGAGCTCGCTCCAAAAGTATGCTGTGCTGTGTTTCGCCATGTTTACTTCCGGAATACTGCACGCGGATTTTTGTATGCGCCGAGAAGTTTCTCTACTCAAAAAACCAAGATTCCTTGCGAATAGAACATGCGCAGAACACAAATCACTATGGGGATATGCCGATACGCGTTTACATGACCAAAAATTCAGGTTAGAAAGGGGGTAACCCAGGTATAATATCCCGGTTTTTAAAATCCGGGATATGAGCATTGTTTGGCTTACAATGAAGTATTGTTCATTTCTTTTTCAGGTTCGTCTGGTGTTGATACAGTCAGAGTGTCAGTGTCAGTGATGGAGGGAGATTCGGTCACTCTACACACTGGTGTTCAAACAAACCAGCAAGACAGAATTAGATGGTACTATAATGACATTCGCATCGCTCAAATCAACAGAGATCAGAGTAAGATCTGTACAGATGTTCAGTGTAATGAAGGCACTGAGAGATTCAGAGACAGACTGAAGCTGGATCATCAGACTGGATCTCTGACCATCATGAACATCACAAACACACACTCTGGAGAATATCAACTACAGATCAGCAGCGGAAGCAGCGACAGTGAAAACACCTTCAATGTTATTTTATATGGTGAGTCATTATGTTTAAAAGCAAATTATATACATCAATTTTTTTTGGGGATATTTTTGCTGATGTTCAGAGGTGTTTAGATTTAAATATAAATGTACTATGTGCAGGTTGCAAAGATATCCCATGAAGTATAATTTCATTAAAATAGTACTACATCAGTATTATATAATTTTATTATTTCTATCTAAATTATAATGTCTTGATGCCATTTTAATTTGTTATTTTAAAAAGGCACTGCGAGATGACACGCCATCAGTCATGTGTGGACATTATTGGAGGAAATCCCTATTGTAATACAAGCTTCACTGACTTAATCATCATCATCACCATCTTGCTTCTTCTGACTCTGATCTGTACTCGTAGTTTTTGCATTGCATACTTTTTTATTCTTAAAGGGTTAGTTTACCCAAAAATGAAAATTCTGTCAGTATTTACTCACCCTCATGTTGTTCCAAACCTCTATGTGTTTATTTGTTCTGCTGAACACAAAGGAAGATATTTGGAAGAATGTTTTAATCAAACAAATCTCATTCCCCATTGACTACCATAGTATGTATTTCCTACTATGGTAGTCAATGGGGATTGAGATCTGTTTGATTAAAACATTCTTCCAAATATCTTCCTTTGTGTTCAGCAGAACAAATAAACACATAGAGGTTTGTAAAGGGTGAGGGTGAGTAAATACTGACAGAATTTTCATTTTTGGGTGAACTAACCCTTTAATGAGTTTTTGGTTACCATGCCCCACCTCTTATGTCTATAAGCACCAAATGTGTATTTTCTGACTGAAAATGTTTTATCGCTTTCATATCCACAGTTCCATCATGTTGTGTGTCTTTTCCCCCCAAAAAGATCCTCCAATCATCTGTTGGTTTGTGTTTCAGGTGTTTCTGCTGCTGAACGAGATGCAATTAAGAGAAAGACAGTGATGGAAGAAGAATCTGTCATTTTATACACTGGTGTAATAAGAAATCTGAATGATTCAGTTAGGTGGTATTTTAATGAGATTCTCATCGCTGAAATCAGTGATGAACCCAGAAAAACCTGTACAGATGATCAGTGTGACGAGAGATTCAGAGACAGACTGGAGCTGTATCATCAGACTGGATCTCTGACCATCACAAACACCAGAACTGAAGACTCTGGAGAATATAAACTACAGATCAACAACAGCAGATTCAGCATCTTTAAGAGCTTCAGTGTTTTTGTCACTGGTGAGTCTAATTTATCTCTACAGCATCTATTCAACATATTAATTACTTTATAATTAAAGGAACACGCCACCGTTTTTTGAACAGTGGACGTGAGGGTGGGGCATATATCTGTGATATCTCTGCAATATTCACAGTCAATATCTGCCTAGGAAATTGCCTAGTCATAATCTGCATTGCTATTTGTACTCGTTGTAAATATGCAGGCCTCAAGAAGTAATTCGCTTCTGTTTTTATCACTTTTACTCACAAAATGCTATCCGGCAACAAAGGATTCCATTCATTATGCTAAGCTAAGCTAGCAGTGGCGCTGCCAGACTAAGACAATGCATGCACTGGGACAAAAATGCGTTTGCCCATAGATTTGCGTACCTGGAACCTAATTTATTTGGGGCGCCCGTTCATCGCCCAAGCGTCTCTCGTCGACACTTAATAACCTTTATACTCTAGCTTCTACATCTCCTGAGTTGCCTAAACTCTAACTTACTCCCCTCAACTGATCTGCTGCGCAGCAGTAATATCAGACAGACTCCAGCAAATGTCCTTTAAATGCTTTTAAAGGAGAATTCTGGTCAATTTTAACATTGAGCAAATTTTTTTGTTCATTTGGAGTGCTGTCAGTACAGACATACATGACAAAAATCGGTGTTGCCAACATGTTATCCTCTTTTTAAAATTCGCAAACTGTTGACTTCAATGGGGCATGTTCTAAACCTGCTTTTAGCCTCTTAACATCCTTGATTTGTCATAAGTACTTCCTGTTTTCAGTCGATTATCGAGTTCACGTGTAATTGCTTAGTTATCAATTTGAACTCGACAATCGACTACTGTGGACTTCGACCGAAAACAGGAAGTAAATAGCTGGCTGAATTAACATCATTTTTATTCATATCTTTCACATCTACTGCAGTCAGGTTGACCGTGGTCACTCTTAATAACACCACTCACACACTCGTAATGACAAATCAAGGATGTTAAGAGGCTAAAAGCAGGTTTAGAACTTGCCCCATTGAAGTCAACAGGGGACAACAAGTCAAAAAAGAGGATAACACTGTGTAGGACGCACCGATTTTGTCATTTTGTGTTGTCTTTTGACATGGGCATTCTGACTCTCTCTATACGTGACAGAAATGTACAAAAAATGAGCTCAATGTTGAAATTGACCGGAGTTCTCCTTTAATTACAGCCAGGAGAGTTCAAGCATTTTCTCCGAGAATCTCCCTAGAAGAAGCAAAGCCGGTGGATCATACTGGTGGATCCCACCAGTAAACACGAATACAACAGTTTTCATAGAATAGACATGACACATTACCACGAGTTTTCAAACCCAGTCATCTCAAAAATAAAATCATCATGACTAACATGTCACGCTCTAAATCATCACTTGTCAAAGCAAATCCCCCCTTTCATTACTCTCTGTTAGTAACACCAGCAAAATATCATGTATCATCAAACACATTGTGAGGGGTTAATATTTTAATCAATCATTTCACAATATAACGGTTAGTCCAATTTCAAAGTTCCTTTAACCAAAGTTATATTAAGTCAAAAGTTCACGAGGTTCGATTTCGTTTGATGGCTACATCCTAGAGAAACGGGAAGTAAGATTGATTTAGATTTATAGTTAGAATCAGGAATGGAAGTTTTAGTCATCTTCAGACATAGAAGGAATGGAAGTGTTTGAACTTATCACAAGATGTTAGTATAATTCATATCTTTATGGTTAGTTAACATAATCTTTATCTATTAAAAAATCCACCACCTATCTAAATGTAGGGGAGATGGTGAACAACCCCTGTTTCAAATAACGACGGTGTGTTCCTTTAATGAAAACATGCACTGTAGTGTACTATTTACAAACCGTTTGATTGTCTGTTTTAAATCCGATTTAAATCCTGTGCCGCCCTCAGCCTCACGCGTCAAAGCAAACACTACAAGGCCTCTAGAGGCCGCTCTCACACTGTATAATGACAACGGGTCTGTTATGGGTAGTCGTGACTGAATGGTCATGAGCAGATGTAGCACTCAGGAGAAGTTAGATGAGTTTGCATAGATGGGGTTTTTATTTTTCCATAATTAAGGCCAACGAAAAGCAAAAAAAATAAAAAATAAAAAATACTTTTGAATAAACAAAGTAAATTGACATGAGAGTCAAAATAAATACATAAAAAAAAAAAAAAAAAAAACTTTTACAATAATTCAAACATTGACCTTAACACAAGTCAGTATATTAGAGCAAGGACAGACTTATGTCCTTTCACCCCAAGCTCCCCTAACAGAATGAAAATACTAGCCTTTATAGACCTGAGTTCACCCATGGAATTGGAACATACCAACACATGATTATGATACAGGGGTGACTCAGATGACAACAGCATAAATGCTTAAAAACAGCATGAAATACAACCTCTATAAAACTAGAAAATTACAGAATATTATTTCTTCAGTTTCAGCTGACAATTGGCAAGCAAAAAGTCACATTAACAGCTACGAATTAATTAAACTCAAACTCCGGGTCATTTCTCTTGACCCGGAAGTCATAGCGTCATTTAAACCCCACAATAGCGGCACATTTTCCTTTACTCAAACAAACCAGAGACGCGAACATAGACGCCGATGTATGTTTTCCTCCGTGGGTGCTCATGGGCGCACGCCCTTTAAAAAAAAAAAAAAAAATTTGCATTTCAAAACCTTGGGAAATGGACAGCCGACACGAACACACATTATTTACTTGATAATAAAGCCGTAAGGCTATCTTTCAACTCAGGTCAGCGCCACTTTTCACAAATAGGCTACAGACAGGATTGAGATGAATAGTTTAACTAACCGCGATCAGCTTCGTGGGAAATTATGAATCAATGTCACACAAATCTGTCCATTTTATCCTCACTCCATCTGATTCTAATTATCAAACGCAAGTACACACGCACGTCACGGTATAGTGGGTAATGAAGCGGGAATCTGCGGAATCACACTAAAGAGGCGTTTTCACCCGAGAAACGCTGTGATTGGTGGATACAGGATATGAAGCAGGCGACTGACAGCGAGATAACAAATCACAGTGTGACAGACGGGTCAGACGCTTCAAATAGCACCAACTGCAATGTTTAATTTTAAATGAATATTACTGCTATTCTGGCACACGTGGGTGGGTGCTCGTTATTTTCCGTGGGTGCTCGAGCCCCGGAGCACCCACGGTATCGGCGCCTATGGACGCGAATACAACAAAGATGGTATGTGAACTAGGGATGGGGAAATGAAGCTTCATGAAGCAATGAGGCTTTCCCCTGACTGTTCCGGGAAAAGATTTTAAGCTTCGAGAGTGTCGAGAACAGCGCCATCTGGTGCTTATTTAAAATAAAGCAGCCAGAAGCTCTGGCAGATGAAGCAACCACAACACACTACAGAGTTTCAATGTTATGTGTACAAATAAAAACCTTACATGTTTGTGTTTAATTTGTTCATTCGATAAATTCATTTTCCCATTAAAGTGTATATAATATAAGCTTAAGTGCAAAGATATAAGCTTAAGTGCAAAGATTTTACAAAAACAAAAAGACAAAACAAAAAAGAAGACTAAGTAGTAAAAAATAAATGTTGGTTATTTAATTAATTATATTTATTAACTTTCAAAGTACAGCACTCTCCTCAAACACCCATCAACCAGACTGAGGCAACATTGACTCGTTAAAGTTCGAGCCTTCTGACACCCAAAGCGAAACTCGCACGTGATCGGACAGAAAGTGAGGCTTCATTTGTCATCGATCACGTGACTCTGGGAAAACCAATACACACCCCGATACGGGGCTTCACTAGAAATTGTGTCGCATATGTGATACGCGCATCGAAGCTTCAGTGTCATACGTAACATCACTAATGTGAACACAATGTTTCTCTTAAACTAAATAAACAGATACCTATTGAAAACATGTATTGTGTGATTATTATAACTGTGATGTAAATGACATAATTTTCTTGAAAACAGCAAGATATGTATTGATAGAAATAGCTATAGCATTTAAATCACCGCAGTATTAGCTGTTAAAGATGTGCACACCAAAAGCTACGGGATATATGAGTTTTTGTTATGAAAGGCTAGATTAACCGCTAATTTATGACAGTATAAAGATTAACAAAAAACCTTAACGTGCTAGACAAACATACGGATCACATTTACACACAGTCTTTGTGTACAAGAATAGGCAACGTATCGCTGCCGTGACGATAGCTATGCGCCCCGTCACAGGGTCCTTCTCAGCCACTCCAGCAATGGATGCAACCCAGAATCGGTATGGAGTTTTGTCGATAACAAAGTTTTTCACCAATCGGTTATCAGTGCCGATTCTTCCAAGTAGGGTTTCCTGCATCCTGCGGTGGACATCCAACCCCGCCCACATCCAAGTGTGATGTCAGAATCCAATCCCATGTCAAATAGGTTTTAGGTGGGTTTCAGTATGTAGGTTCTATCTAGATTAAAAGGGTTTTTTAGCCGTTATGTAACAGTGATGGGTAGGTTTAGGGATCAGTGTTTGGTTTAGGCAATCAGTACTGTGATTGACATGACCTATCAATAAACGTATCAATCCTTAGACCTCTAAAAGAGACTGAAAAATGGAAATTGAGTTTAATGTTGCATTATGAATTTTACATTTCTGAAGTCTATTATAAGAATAAGAACAACACAATATCAGTCAGTTTTCCTGTGAACATTGTTTCGTGTTGAGCTCACTGATGCTGTTTTAGCTGATGTTGTTATAAAACACCATTATATTTCTCAAATCAAACAGCTATTTATCAAATAAATCAATATCATACGTCATTCTACTGAAACGATGAGTCGATCTGTGTGTGTTCAGCTGTTCCAGATCCAGGTTTATCTTCAGCTGCTGTAGGAGGAATATGTGCTGCTGTTTTTCTGCTCGTGGCTGCGGCTGCTGCTGGGATTTACTGTTTCAACTGGAAATCGAGGAAAAGGAAAGCAAGGCTAAAAGGCAAGTATTACACATAGCTGATTGTACAAAATGTAGTTAATTTAAAAGTTTCATTGTACAAAAGGAATCTTGGAAAATATGGAAAAGTATGTCTTTTTATTCAAATTGACCAACGTAAGAGTTTGTTGTTGTTCAAACAGGAAACAGGACACCGCGAGATGATCATGATCAGGTGATATACTGTCTCCAAAACACTGTGAATTTACTACAGATTCTGATCTGTGAGAACTGTAATGCCCTAATGACGTGATTTTGAACAAAATCAGACCAAAACAAAGTTCATTTCGGAGGAAGCAGCTCTCAAAGTAAACTTTCCGTCTTCTCCGTGGGGATTACTTTATAAGTAAGTAGGTATGGCTCAGCCTTCTTTACATTGGAGATATCCGCTTATATTTCTTCAGTTCGGTCCGTCAAGCTCAGACGTTTGCAAAATACAACATGAACAGAGCTTTAAAATATAATTCTAATCGGAAGAGACCCTGATACTGTTTTTTTTTTCCATGTTTTATACTGTAAAGCTGCTGATTTAAAACTGTATATTTGTGCATATAAACTCTATATAAACACACTACACACATCCACATCACTATGATCAGATCTTTCTTTCTGCTGTTTTCTCAACGCTGTCGAAAGGAACATCTTCAAGTGTAACGAGTCATTTTTCAGAGGAAACATAAAGGCCTTATGTGGTTTATATCTGTGTGTGTGGGGTTTTATTCAGAATTTATCACATAGAAACACCAATAATGGAGCTTATCTTGAGCTGTTTTACTTCAGAATGAAGAATTATGTGTCTTTACATTCACAAACATCAAAGAGAAAAACACATTTTTTGTTTGTGTAACGGTATTATCAGTTTTGATCATTTGTTTAAACTTCTGTGAATCCATTTCTTTCTTTCAGGAGAATGATGTTACAGAAGCACTGCCCCTTAATCAGAGGACTCCGACTCCACTAATGGATGATGATAATGAGACTGAGACCCCACAGTTGGATGATGATAATGGGACGTCCCATAATGAGACTGAGACTCAACAGGTGAATGATGATGAAGCGATGGAGACTCAAGTTGATAATGAGCAGTCTTCTAGTGAGACTTGAGACTAATGGGATTTCTCAGTAACATTAGTTATTATTTTACGCTCATGGAGAAATGGTGTCGTGATACTAAAATATCAAAAGTCGTTACCAATAATGATGACTTGAAGTTTCAAAGCAAAGCAAGCCATCACCAACAGAGTGCTTAGGAATTTCCAGTGTGTAACTGGTGGGAGTATTAGAGGCTGCTAAAGGATCCAGACAGAAACCGGATTATCACTCGTCCTTCACAGTATTGCGGTTCCTTCAATCATTAGCAGCAGAATATACACTGGAAGACCCAATAACACACTGATCTGTTTAATCAGATTCATATGTCATACTTGGTGTGCTCTTCACCGATCATATGCAGAAATGAGAACGGGAATATGTTAGTTACTGTGACCTTATTAAGCTGCTTGGTAACCTACAAACTGGTGTTTTAAAAACATTCACTGTCAAAACTAATGCTTTCAGTTTTGGTTTGTTTGTTGGTGGTTTAAAGAAAGGTTAAAAGTCCAAATCCTGCAAGGATTGATCCATGAAATATAAGCATTGTGTCCTTGATCAAATGCCGAATCTCAGGAAATGAACCTGTAAAACTCCATTGAAAGACTCTGGATTGATGCTGCTACAAAAGCACAAATATTCCTAACTGTTACTGGCTGCTATGCTGCTGCTTAATGGAATTTTTAAGCGCATTTCATAAATGTGTGTGTACTGATAAAATGATATTCATTTTGTGTGATAAATTTCTTTTCAATGTTTAAATTATTTATTAAAATTAACTATTTAAATTATTTATTAAAATGTAAATAAACGCGATGAATGCTATTTAAACGTGTTTGTTGTGAAATGATTTGAGTTGATCAGAAGTAACTAAGCTAACAAGGAACCATTTGTAGATCATGAAGTGTGCAAATTTTAGTTTAACAAGGATTAGACTTTCACCTTTAACCTAACTAACTAGCTGTTTAACTCGGTCCTTACCAATAACAACACACTAATAATCTACTAATTTTTTAAAAAAAATTTCTAATCAAGCTTTTTAATTTTTGTTCTCATATTAGATGGTGAAGGCTGTTACAGAAATGGGCACTAGATGGCGCTCTTGTAAAGCATAGAGTCTACTCTAAAGAAAATTCAGATGTCAACTCTCATTAGAGCCTAAGTCCCGCCCCTCCGCTTCCGGCTCATGGGACCTTATTTCGGAAAAAAATGAATGGTAGTCAATGGCGAGAGACAAATTATCTTTTTATTCCGTCTGAACTGTGACCTCAATTACACATATGATGTTTTTCAATTTAAAAGATAATTCTGAAAGTCAAAAACGTCGCAGTTTGTCAAACAACATAAGAGTAACATTTAGTTGTATGTGAAAATCGCTCTATGAACTACATCTCCCGGGAAGAGAAACGAGATCCGCTGCTCGTGTGTGTGCAGTCTGGTACAAAACACTCAGGCAGGACGGCGTAACGTTACGATTATAACGTAAGACTGTAGAAACAATGACAGACAGCCTCAGTAAAGTTAGCTTCATTCATTGGGAGAAAATGTGTGCCTTTGGGGTTTGTAGTCTTTGTAATTACGTATTTTCACAGTCTTATTATACCTCAACGGTTTTACATCAAACTGCGACTTTCTTTACTTTAAAATGTATCTTTTAAATTGACAAACATGTGTAATTCAGGGCACAATTCAAACGAGAAATATTTGTTGTCTCTCGCTGGAATTAAAGACTTTATTACAAGCTTACTGTTTTGAATTAAGCTAAGGCAAGCAGATAGTTTTGAACACTGGCTGGTTATGTATTTTATTTTTTTTATTTCCTTTGGATATAAAGTGGCATCTTTTTTAAAAAAAAACTTAATTTAAATATATAACAAATAATAATAATAAATCTAAATAGAATTCTGAGTGAAGAAGCGGATTCACGCTCCTCAATAAGAGGGTGGATGAGCAGTGGCCTAAGGCAAAGTTTTCTGGAACACAAAAGAAGATATTTTGAGAAATGTTTTTGTCAAAAAGGGTCAATGAAGCTCAGCTACTAAAATAGAGGCTATCTGTAAAGCGGTTTTGAAACTGTAAGTACATGTGAAAAGTTCTTTTTAGACAAACAAACATGACTTGACTTGACAATCATTTTAATTACTACATTCTTTGTAGAACCGTTTGCCCCATAGGCCAAATGGAGATGATCCAAACTGAACTGGAGTTTCCCTAAAAGCATTGTTAGACAATAGTCGCAAGTTCCGTCATTATCAGCAGTTTAACAAGTTTGTGTTTCCCAAAACCATCAAAGTTTTGGCAAGCTGACATTCAGTAAAATCTATATCTTTTATTAGCGTTTACTAAACCAGCGACTGGCCAGTCACTGGGGAAGAACGATCTGGTCATTCACTTTCTTAAGGGATCCAAGAGGCTGAATCCTCCCAGACATCCTTCAGTTCCCATGTGGGACCTTTCTATGGTTTTGGAAGACATTAAAGGTTCCCCGTTTGAGGCAATCCATTTATCAGACATGAAACATTTGTCGTTCAAGACAGTGTTTCTTATGGCTTTTGCTTCAAACGCATAGGGGAGTTACAAGAGCTCCCAGTAGCAATGTAATTTGCTGTGTATGGAAGATATTACGCAGTAACGTTACTCGTTCCCTCTTTTAGAGAGAACCGAGGTTACGTAAGTAACCGAGTACGTTTTTCCTTTTATCTCGCCCCCAAACGTGATGAGCCAATCACAGTAGGCCTATGCATAGCTAACCCAATACACTCAGACCACAACACTAACTAAACGTGGATAAAGTAAACAAAGATGTCTACATTGTTCTAAGGTAAGTCAACAACGTATTTGAACATTATCTTTAACATCTCTAACGTAACGTTAGCCTAACATTAAAACATTTTAACATTAGCTTCTAGCTGCATTTTACGTCATGTCACTTAGCTTCACGTATCTGTAAATAACCGAGATAAAAAATGTTAGCAATGTTGTGCTGAATGATTCATGTAAATACTGTAGCAACTAACGGAGAGGTACTCCTGGTAAAGATGGTAAAAAGTGTTGTCCTGGAAACATGTGCAACTTAGACCTGTACATATTTAATTTGAACATGAACCATTAATTACATATTGAAGCGCAACATTTTAGACACCTTTCTACCAAAACAACTGGGGAACCTTGTGTTGTTGTTTTTTAGCAAAACATGTTGCCAGTTTTCACTCCTCCTCAACATAACCAAATGTTCAAACTATTTACATACCATGTCAATAGACAAGAGGTCAGGATGTTCAAAAGGTCATTGATTTGTGCTGATTTAGTGTAATAACTTCTAATAAAATGCTATATTTTTTGTTTAAGCATTTTGTCAATAGAGGGCCCCCCCATCCTCACCAAACAAGGACTGAATCTACTATAGGACAGAGGTGTCGTCCATCTCCAAAAAAGAGGTACCTCAAACATGTGTACATGAACACACACAGGTTCAAGTCACACTTGATCATTGATGATATAATATCAAGCTGAAGGCAAAAATCAGAAAAAGAATCTGCACACTGTTAAAGAAAATCCCAGCAGCTTTAATAGCAGAAAACCACCAGTCAGTGTTGTAGTCGAGACCACCTCACTCGAGTCTAGACCGAGACCAGAGAGAGTCGAGTCCGAGTCGAGTCCGAGACCAGAGACGGTCGAGTCCAAGTCGAGACCGAGACCAGTAATTACCTAATTTACTTTTATTTACTTAGAGAAATCCTTCTTTTTTTTTTTTTTTACTGAATTTACTTAGAGTTTAAAAAATATGATCAGTTTAGGGTAAAAAGGCCACATAGTAGGTGGTGTTAAAAGCAATTTTATTACAATTTGTCATGCGCAGTTGCACACTAGAAAATCACCAATCACTGGGCGTGTCAATCAATTTAAAGAAATATTTTATTAACATACATTAATAATCATGAAAAATATTTTTAATTGAACACGAGTGGACTCGGGAATAAGTCCGAGTCCTAAAAAAAAAAATGTTCGCGTACGAGTCAATTCCGAGTCCAAATGCACACGAGTCCATTAAAATATGGTCTCGAGACCTAGTCCGAGACGAGTCCGAGTCTCGAGTACTACAATACTGCTCTCGCCATTGACTACCATTCAATATTTTTCCGAAATAAGGTCCCATGGTGGTCGACCGGAAGGGGCGGGACTTAGGCTCTCTATTAGTAGAAGTTACAAAGTTACTTATAGTCAAATGCAGTGTTACAGATGTTAGAAAGTCGATCTTCTCTACTGAGAGTTAGCTGACATGTTTTAAAATAACAGTAAAATGTTTAAAGTGCACTGATGAGATCGTGTAACCAAAAATAATGTCAATCAAGTGTATTGATAGAAAGGTGTCAAACATCTCCTAAATGTTGTCAGATGGGTTTGAGTGCATCAATAAAGACACTTAAAGTGTCTTTAAGTCCAGGTTTAATGCTGGACATTTGCTGGAATCATGATATTCCCTCACCTACGACTGAAACTTTTCCCTTGCTGTCCCAGATCATTTACAGCTAAGCTATGATTAGCATGGTTGCTAATGCTAAATGCCTACACTGTCATCTTGACTTCCAGGATGAAGGATTTCAAAAAAGAGCCTCTTTGTTTCTGCAGTTCTTGGTCTCTTAAAAGTCGCCATCTTTTGCAATCATGTCCGTTAAGTTTTATTCATTTTGACGACCATTTGTTTCACAATAGACTAATTGAAGTTGCTCTAAGGGTATGCTAACACGACAAGGATAACGATAGGATTAAAATGGAGATGTTTTTGAGTTTTGAGTCCTTGAGTTTTCTTCGTACAGACGACACCATTGTCAAAATTATCTACATTCACACAGATCCATTAAAACGGCCTTAAACTCTGTATTCTGCCGCCATGCCTTCAGATGGCGATAAAACATATAAACTGAACACATACATGTGACGTCTTCGTCTTCAGAGATTCACATTTTTGTTGTTTACATGGAGACCGCTTTCAAAAACGTGCACTTTGAAACCTGTTTTCAAAAAATTACTTTTTCGGGCACCCCAAAAAAAAAAAAACGTTGTCATGAAAATGAACGGCCAAAACGCATACGTTTTTTGGTTAAAAACGGTGTTGTCCCAGATAGCACATGTACGTCTGCAAAATGTATGTTAAAGATCACTTCATCTGGAAAGCATCTGCTGTTCACTAACACATGATAGACATATAGATAGTTTAACATACATTCTAAATCATTACATCTTAAAGACATCTTCTAAACGTCTATTTGACAGGAAATGTCCAATAGACGTATTGCAGATGAGCAAACACTCTTAAAAATGCGTCTACCAGATGTAAACACACATCAAATAGACGTCTCTGTGATGTACGTGTGCTATCAGGGATCCCTGATAGCACGATGTCTATTTGTTTACATCTGGAAGATGTATTTTTTTTAGGGTGTTAGCTCATCTGC